CATTTGTGAGTCCATACATCAATAGTACAATGAATTTGACTTAAGAAACCTTGTGATTAATCAAATATATTATATACAAATTACCGACTCCAAATTGTGGTGGGTTTATTGACGTGAATTTAGGATAAGTAAGATTGGAACTATACCAAAGGGGTCCATATAAGCAGAAATTGACTGAAAGATTTTGGCCAGCCCTATGAGGACTTTGCAGCAAATATTATTGACCAAGTCCCTGTCAATATCGTTTAATCCGTTTGGGTATTCAAAAATGTTTTTAATTTTTAATGTTTCAATTGAATGATTTGAAATTTTGAAGACACAAACGGATAATTGTTATTTTCTCATGGATAGGTCAGGTCAGGTAGGTTAATCGTGTATTCTCCGTCATTACACGATTAAGATTCAAAAAACTATACTAATCTTTAACACACACAAAAATGCATGTTAGAATCACATGTTTTGCTTATCTTTGTTTTCTAAAGAGTTCCATCTGAGGAAGGAAAAAAGAGTTCCATCCTTACACTCTCATGAAAGCAGCACTACAGAGTCTACAATGTATATATGGTGGTCTACTTAGAAATAGAATGCATCTAACGAAAAAAGAATTGAGCAGTGAATCCTCGTTTATTCCAAGTTTTTACTAGCTTATAGTGTTATATATATAACGTAAATAGTTTCAATAGCATACTCAAATTTTATATATCTACTTTCTCAACATAAACTGAGTTATGTAAGTTTTGGATGATCATTTTTCTTAAACATTTTCTATTAGGTTTAACGATACGTGCTATAGTACGTGAAGATCCATGGCAAATGGCAAGAGCGGTGACTAAAAATGTTGGACCCATTGATTGAAAACATAATCAATAAGATTAATCCAGAGTATATCTTAAATAAGTTAAATAACTAGTCGAGAAACAAAACTAAACTAATATAAAGTGGGCACATGATGGTGTTAGGGTGTTAGTTGTTGGAGAACAAGCCCAAGTTCCCAAAGAGATTGGTTATAGTTTTGATGAGATGAAAAGTTGGGTTCTCTTTTTATGATCCATCATGCCAAGTGGGAGTGGTCTCCATGTCCTACCACAAACCTCCACGTTTCTTTATTGTCTCGCCACGTGGCTACCAACATACACATGTAAAAACAGATTTAGTGATTTACAACGACAAAGATACAATTAAAGGGACTTAATCACTTGAAGAATAAATAAGCTTTTTGTTCAAAAGAAAAGAGCAAGAGTATGTAAAACAAATTCATATTAAACCAAATAAAAGAAGAATTGTCTCCTCCTGATTTCTTAGTCTAATGTACCATTTTTCAACTCTACTTATGGGAATTTTAGAGGAGTAAACCATTAAATATACTAATTTTTGTCATCTAGAAAACAACTTTAGATATTAATTTATAGAATAAGATTTGTATTAAAAAGAATAATGACCAACAAATTTGGTTGTATTTGTTAATACAGTATACCTTTTGACCAATTCCTAGTCTAACAATTGATACTTTAAATGGTACACTTCTGTATATTAAATTTAGCCCGTGCACGTGGTTTCGGTTATCATGCCGCTTCCTTATCATCACTAGTTAAGTGGGATTTTGATATTTTATTCGCAATATCGTAGTCGTAAGGAACTCATCATATTTTACTGAACAAAATCTTACTTCAACAACAATACTCCAATATTGTTTTTTTTTTTTAATAAACAGAAAAATATTTCTTCAAAACAAACTAACTAGTTAACAAGTTCTTCTATGGTTCCGATTGTACTCATCGCGGAAACCAGTTACTCTTTAACAAGTTCGAAAAAGTACTTGCAATCGCCTAACATATACATCAACGTTATCGAAATATTAACGTTTAGTAGAGGTTAATTTGCTTGGGATTCCTACAATTATGTAGGGCCTAGCTTCAGAAATTCGAGTCAGCTTTTCTGAAACCCTAGAATCATTCTACTTCTTCGTCTTTTAAAATATTTTCTTCCTAATCTACAAGGCTACAACTAAAAGTTTATAGGAATCCGATGTCCAATTTAATTTTACTTAGTCCTCCTCAGCTAAATGTAATTTTTGGCTTATGGAGCCCTTAGTCATCTTTCCTTGGATATCACTCTACTTGTTTTTCTTATTTTCAGATATCACTCTACTTTATCTATCTTGTTTGAAATTCTTTTAGTTTTGTTCAAAGCTAGCATATATTACATCTTTTCCTTTCGAAATTGGTTCAAAATCTATATAAAAACCAGTATCAAAAAGAGGAAAAAAAAGGAATTCCACTACTCTATATAACGGGAAAAATTAAGAAAATAGAAAGACATCCTTGCACATTTTAAGGATGCTTGTTAGCATAACATTTGACCAACGTTCTACTATGCGCCGCCCATTTTCTGTTTATTTTGAAATTGTAAAAAGACTGACCAATTGAGATTCAACCACTTTCCTGTTTTGGATTAAGTTTGATAACCTTGAATTGTAAGGTTTTTGTTTTCATAAATAAATTATAAGTACACATCCAAGGAAACCAGTGTATATTTTTAGAAAATATTAACCATATGCCTTTATAAAAAAAAGTATGAACTATATCCCACGTATTTTAAGTTTCTCGTGAATATGTTTAGAGGCATGATGCGGACTGTATTCAACACGCGTACTTGTTTACACGTGTAGACATGAAAAATTACAGATGTGCACGTACATGTATGTGGACAATGGACGCCCATGCATGTGAAACAATGTGACTTAAAGCTTAAGGACAAAGAGAGGAATCTGAATTTTGCAAATTGTTCGTCTTTATTAAAAGTTGAAGGTTTGAAAGTTGAGAGACTGAGACTAGAGAGACACGATTTTATGTACAGTGTGTACGAATGCTTTATGCTATACACGTTTCACAACTTTATAAACCCACGTTACTAATTTTTAACATCTTTTGTCTCTTTCCTATTCGAATTCGGATCTAGTAAGATTCAACCATTTATAAATGGTGGTGATTTGAAAGAGCTCCTAAAGTTTATGATATTAGCTAGTTACATTGAAGAAAAAATATAGCTTTCGTATTTTTAAAAGGTTACATGAAAATTCCATCTGCATCCAGTTACCAAGCATGAATAACTCAACGCTGTCTTCTACATTTATATATACTCTCACGGCCCACATAATGATTTCAATGTATAATGGCGTAGCCAAAAACTATTAAATATAAACCTATATGATAAACAATGAATAAAAACAAGAATAATATGGTCAAAATGGGGAATTGTGGAAGACTGCCTAAGATTGGATGAGAATGTGTCAGACATCAAAAGCTTTAAGGCCTCTCTACTTCTTATAATTATCATCAACCTGCTCCTCTCACACAAAAAAAAATTATATTATTAATTTCTCCAAATATATTACTACTATTAACAGATTTAAATAGAATCCAATGGCGATTATCTATACGGCCAAAGATGAACATATAGACCATATATGGTCAACACATTTGTTTGATCATAATTCTGAACTACTTAAAAAGTTATTTTTAGGATATTCGATCGACTCAAAATGTACCTACAACAACAATATGTAACATTCCTATTAGTAAAGTGATAAAATTCTTATACTTTTTATTCTTTTTGTTGGTAGAAGTTATAAAACGCTTCCACCAAACGGTTTTCTTTTCTTTGATCACTAGTTATTAGAAAAGTTGCAAAATCCAATATGAATCCGGATATAATTTGGGCCGTTTCTCAAAAGTCGTTGGGCTGTTTCAGTATTATCAACATAGCGTTATGTGCTACATGTTGTGGAAACAGTTAATAATAATTTATGCCGTTCGTTTAACTAACAAGAAGACTACTCGCCGTTTCGATAGAAACCAACATCACGCCGTTGCATTTTGCAGAGCTAAAAACGCGCGCAGTTTAGTTCTTCTTAGACAGAGCTGAAATCACTAGATCAATTTCAAATATGGACATGGAAGAAACGATTCGATTTCTATTGAAAAACTCACAACACGAGTTAAAATTTGATTTTGCCTTTTGCACAGAATTGAGAAATATTCAAAAGCCTTTGGCACCAGATTCTTTCAAAACGGCAGGTTGATCAGCCATGGATAAGCAGTATTTAGCAATCTCTCTGAACTTAGGAACGCTTCTCAGATCAACTTTCGTCCCGTCTCTCAGCGTGATGATGATGTCACCCCATTCTCCGATGAACCTCGGCACAACCTGGACGTCTTTAATCACCTTGTACGAGAAATCGCTCCGATCTTCTCCGGTGAGCCCCGAGATCACCGTCACGCGGAGGTTTGTGAACCTGTAACGGAGGTTAAACGCTCGAGACACCGCGGCTAGTGTTAATGGTAGCCACAGGATGGTTAGGCCCAAGACGAGATTCGCCAATAGATCTCCGTAATGAGCTCCGCCGTCGAAATAGACTGTTTCTCTCTTCGTCGGCTTAGAATCTGAAGGAATGGCGGAGGAAGCGGCGGAGGAAGCTTGGAGCAATCTCTGAATGTGTCTTTGTGATTTGGTGGTGGGAGACAATGAAGAAGCTGGGAAGGAGAAGGTGGTAGAGAGGAGGAGCGAGTTACGAATGCCGGAGGTTACGGCGGTTAACGGCGGAATTGAAGAAGCAGCCATGAGATTCGATTGGAGTGATTGGAGGCGAAAGAGGATGAGATTTTTGTTTTGTTCTTTTTTTTTCGGATTTGATTTTTTGGCACAAAATGTGCCACGTGGCGTAATCTTTACCGACAGCAGATCTATCCAAAAATCCAACACAGAATACAGTTCTTGTCGGAACAATTTTAACCATACGACACAATTAATTTATGTAGTTGGGTTTGGAAATAAAAGATGGGTCGAATTGAGAAATTGATTGGGCCCAAATTAGAAAAACAGAAAAGTGTTGGCGCCTGTTGTTGCATCCTCTTCTCTGTATCATCATCGATTCCTAATATCGTCGCCGTTCACTTACCGCCGTAGCTCAAAGTCACTGTAGCTAGGGTTTTAGGGTTCCGATGGGTGTACCATCATTCTACAGGTGGTTAATCGAGAGGTATCCGTTGATTTTGCAAGATGTCATCGAGGAAGAGCCGCTCGAAATCGGCGGCGGCGCCACGGTCCCCGTCGATACTAGCAAACCGAATCCTAACGGCTTCGAGTATGACAATTTTTATCTCGACATGAACGGAATCATTCATCCATGCTTCCATCCCGAAGACAGGGTACGCTTTATCTCGAAATACGAATTCATTCATCGGTTGTGTGAGTTTTTGATTTATTGTTATTACCTTCTTACTCTCAGCCTTCTCCGACGACGTTTTCCGAGGTGTATCAATGCATGTTCGATTACTTAGACAGACTTTTTGTCATGGTTCGACCCCGGAAGCTGTTATACTTAGCTATTGGTGAGTGTATAATTCAATCTTTGCAAAGTTTGTTTTTTTTATTTGATCCGTCTTGTAAAGCTGTATTTTTTTCCAATTTTTGTAGACGGTGTTGCTCCAAGGGCGAAAATGAATCAACAGAGATCCAGACGGTTTAGAGCTGCAAAGGATGCAGCAGAAGCAGTATGTACCACTCCACTCTCTGTTTATACATTGTTTCACAATAAATGATTGAGATTTTGACGCATTAACTGCTGTTTTAGGCAGCTGAAGAAGAGCGGCTGCGGGAAGAGTTTGAGAGTGAAGGGAAGAGATTGCCTCCTAAAGTGGACTCTCAAGTTTTTGACTCTAATGTTATAACTCCTGGGACATCCTTCATGTCTACTCTGTCAATTGCGTTGCAGTACTACATTCACGTTAGGCTAAATTCTGATCCTGGGTGGAAAAAGATTAAGGTGAGTCTCTGAATTTTTTCCTCATGGTTGTTTACTGCATACTTCAGGTTTTGCTCATGATTTTTTTAATTTGATTGTGAAGGTTATCCTCTCAGATGCTAATGTTCCTGGTGAGGGGGAACACAAGATCATGTCATACATACGTCTTCAAAAGAACCATCCTGGTTACAACCCAAACACTTGCCATTGTCTGTATGGTTTGGTAATATAACCTCCCTTTATTTCTTATTTTCTTACATGCCTACATGTTTAGTTTTGCTATAATATTCTGTGATCTTGATAGAGCTAGTCAATAAGGCGCTTCTACTGACTATTTCTGAATAACAGGACGCAGATTTGATCATGCTGGCTTTGGCCACCCACGAAGTTCATATATCAATCCTTCGTGAGGTTTGTACCAATGTTCTTTATGGGTCTTCATTTATTAGTAGCGGAATTTATTTTATATGCTTCTCTTAATGCCGATTCTACTTTGTTTTCCCCGTGGTGACTTCACCTAGGTTGTTTTCACTCCTGGAGAACAAGACAAATGCTTCTTGTGCGGCCAGGTTGGGCACCGAGCAGCAGATTGTGAGGGGAAGGTAAAGAGGAAGGCAGGCGAAATGCTTGATAAGAGTGAGGCAAATGTCGTAGCTAAGAAACCATACCAGGTATATTTCAGGGTTATGCAATATGCACCTCAGTACTACATTTTCCAAATTGCATGCTATGTGTATCATTAAGTTTCCTTATCTTTTGGCAGTTCGTAAATATCTGGACGCTTCGAGAGTATTTGGAGCATGACATGCAGATACCTAACTCGCGGTTGCAAAAGAGCTTAGACCGCATAATTGATGACTTCATCTTCATCTGTTTTTTCGTTGGGAATGATTTCCTGCCACATATGCCTACGCTAGAGATACGGGAGGTTCGTTCCATTTTAGTTTTAACTTTCTTCCAGCTGTCAAAATGTCTGGGACAGTGTGTCCTGACATTTATTTCATCTTAAATTCTATGATATCTGCTGAATATAGTATTTCTTAGTATAGGACTTTTCCCTGTTCCTATATCAGAGCATAAATTACTTGGTAGAAATCTTCATTTGGTAGTTAATATTGCTTTGGTATTTGATAGCTTTATACATATCTACTTATAGTATGTGTTCTTTCATTAAAACTGACGCATCTTGGTGTCAATGAAAGTCTATGAGCTTTGCTTAGAACAGTTTGACAAGTTTGAGAAAAATATTCGAAAAAGGTTTTTCTGATTAATCTTTTTGTTGTCTTGCAGGGTGCTATAGAATTACTGATGTCTGTGTACAAGAAGGAATTTGGATCAATAGCAAGTTACTTAAGCAATGGAAGCAAGGTGCATTTGATTAAACATTCTTTATCTTACTTTATGTGGCTGTTGGATTATCGTTTTAACTCTTTTATTTACTAACTTTCAGCTGGACTTAAAAAATGTGGAGCATTTTATCCAGTCCGTTGGGCTATTTGAAAATAATATATTTCAGAGGAGAGCACAAACTCATCAGGTTAATTTCCGTTTATAATTTAGTTACCTTCAGTTATCTGTATTTTCGTTTCATTTTAAGGTATTATGAAGGAAGCTACACAAATAGACATATCATAAACTTCTATGGGTTAGTTATTTAATAGTGCAAATTGTTGTGGTTTCTGTTACAGAGGCAATCAGAAAGGTTTGGTCGTGAATCTCGTGATAGAGCTCAATCAAGCAGAAGACATAATAGTGGCCAGGTTGTGCAACTAGATTCTGTAGCTGAAGAGTCTGATTCCTTACCTCCACAAAAACTTTTGCGTCTGTCTATGGATGATAGCGTTGGTGTAGTGGATGTTGAAACAGAAAATAGCATCAACGAAGAAGTAAGTCATCTTGTATCTGAGTAGGAATTTTCACTAAATCGTTAGCTCTTGTTTGCCTCATGTTGGTCTGCTATTCGTTTGTTTCATTTTAACCTTTGCTTGTGAAGTGTAAACTATTGCTCTTTCTCCATTTCAAGTTTGGTAAAACTTGAAAGTTTTGCTGTTCTTTCTGCTTGATGTTATCAAGGATTTGAGCTTTGCTTTCTCGTTTAAAGTGTACTAATATAGATAGTGGTTTTCAGGAACTAGATAACAAAGAAGAATTGAAGTTTAAGCTTAAAAAACTGCTGCGGGAGAAATCTGATGGGTTCAGCACAGGAAAAAGCGAAGAAGATAAGGTTATTTTTATTTATTTTACCTGCACAATCAGCATGAAAACAAATCTGTGTTTCTATCAATGATTGCATGATAGCTTAACTTTCGTGAGTTTGTTTTTCATATCTGCCTTATCAATCATTTAATCACACTGGCAATTTTACGTGGCTGCTGTATCATCAGGTTAAGCTAGGTGTACAAGGATGGAGAGAGAGATACTATGAGGAGAAATTCACAGCTAAGTCTATAGAGGAAATGGAACAAATACGCAGAGATGTTGTGAGTTTCCCATGCGTGTTATTTGACGAATAAGAAATTACGATTAAGTCACCCAGAATGCACCAATTTATGGTTTTGTTATTGTTGAGTAGGTTTTGAAGTATACAGAAGGCCTTTGTTGGATAATGCATTACTATTATCATGGTGTTTGTTCCTGGAACTGGTCAGTTTCTTGTCACCCTCCTACATATATAATAATACTTTTCACAGTTGATTATTTCTTTGTGGTTCGTTTCATGTATATTTTAAAGATTGATGATTAGTACGCTTGATAAACCATATTGTCGTTTAGATTTTATTTTACGCATCATGCTACACATTTTAGTAGACTGTTCAACGTATCAATTTTTTTCTGTGGGAGAGTCAATCTGTGCCATGCGTGACTGATACACAGTTTTTCCTTCTACCATTTGTTTATTTTGCAGGTTTTATCCGTATCATTATGCACCGTTCGCATCTGATCTTAAGTTCCTTGATAAGCTAGAGATTAAGTTCGAACTAGGTTCCCCTTTTAAACCATTTAATCAGCTTCTGGCAGTTCTTCCATCTGCAAGGTATATTATCATTATTTCTAAGTGTTCATCATCTCTCTTTGATGTCACTTGTTTGCTCACTGGATTCCGTTCGCAGTGCACATGCTCTCCCAGACTGCTTTAGGACATTGATGACAGATCCAGATTCACCTATAGCTGATTTTTATCCTTCAGGTATGAGGTTTTTTCAGTTTAGTCTCTTTCATGGTGGCATTGTGTAATCCATGTCTCTCATTTTAACTTTTGTGGTGTGCAGATTTTGAGATTGACATGAATGGAAAGCGCTATTCTTGGCAGGTTTGTTCTGCTTTCCATGCTGATTAAGTCAGTATTGATGGTTTTGTTAGATGTGATAATTCTGCGTTCTCATATATTCTATCTTTCCTTGTAAAGGGTATAGCAAAACTGCCTTTTATTGAAGAAGGGCGTCTTCTGGATGCAGCCGCACAAGCAGAGCACTCACTGACGGTACAGCCTATCTCAGTTTTAGATGAATTGACCTCTGTTATATTGTTTCTGTATAAGACAATTGTATAATCACATGCAACTTTGTGTTTCTTCCATTTTTATTATTCCAGAAGGAGGAAATTCGAAGAAACAGTTTCTTGTGTGACATGCTCTTTGTAGTTGCATCTCATCCCCTTGCTGAGCTCATCCGTTCTCTTAATAGCCGAACCCTCAAACTGAGGAGTGAAGAACGAGGATCAGTTACGGAAATTGTTGACCCTGTACTAAGGTTTGTGTCTTAATCTTGAGAATAGTTGATTCAGTAGGTAGTTAATGTAGTGATTTCGGAAATTTCTTGATAAATGCAGTGAAGGGATGAATGGTTACTTAGCTTCATGTGGTGGAGATAGTCAGCCTCCTTGCTTCCCTTCCCCGATCGATGGCATGGAGGATGTTTTAGCCAATCAAGTCATGTAAGCCCTTGATCAAGAATTTGGTTTTTTTTTTTTTTTTTTTTTTTCATGTCTTTCATCTCCTTGAGCTTTATCAAATTAACATTATTTTTTGTTTTCAGTTGTGCCATATACAAACTTCCAGAAGATGTTAGAGGCAGCGACATTGCTCGTCCCCCTCCAGGAGTGGTGCTCCCTAAAAAGGTATAGTTGAGACTACTATTCGCTCATTTTGGCTTCTGGTTAGTAAATTAATTAGATTGTTTTTCATGTATCGTCTTCTCAGACTATACAGCTAGCGGATTTGAAAGGTGGGGCTAGTCTATGGCATGAAGATGGTGACAGAAGACGAGCTCCTGCAAAGATAATAAAAATCAAGAGGTTTAATCCACAAGGATCCATTTCTGGGGATAGACTTGGGATGGCAGCACACAGACTTGTGCTACAAACTATAAGTTCCCTGCCCGGTAATTCGCACATTAACTCAGAGGAAGCAGCATTGTGTCCAAATACTGTTTTCCAGAACAGTCAAGTGTCGAAAAATGTCTCATTACCAGTCCGAGGTAATGTGGTACGGAAGATACAACCTCAGAGTGAACAAACCTGGAAGAAGAAGAAGGAACACAGAAGCCTTCAAACTAAAATCTCTGCCAAGCCTCAGAGTGAGGAGAAGAAGACGGCACACAAGAAGCGCAAGGAAAAGGAGAAAAGACAGAGGAATATAGCTAATAGAAGAAAGAGAAGCACAAATTTGCAACCAAACAAATGAGAGAGCAGTTTTGATAATTCATTAGTTTTTTTTTTTTTTTGCTAAGTTCCAAACACTAAATTCATTGAATTAGTTCAGCTCTATTACTTGAGTAGATGTTGTATTCTCTTGTATTATCTCTTGTTGTTTGATTAGGAAACAGTCATATATTATATTTTACATTTACAACTAGTTTGGGATTTATTGTCCTCGCAGGCCAATGTTGGTAAAACAAAGAAATTCCAATCAAACTTTAAGAATCCAACAACAAGATGAATTACAGAGAAGACGAGAGGAAGAAGAAGATGAAAACCATCGACATATTCTTCTGAATAACCCAATCTTTGCTTTCCCTCGCTCAAACTCACTTCTTTTATTTTCAGCCCTTGATCTTTCTCTATGATCTTGTCCCTACACGTGGACACATTACCAATATCCGATATAGGAATTAAGAGATGGAGGGTCCAGATTAAGAGAGCTGAACCAAGGGCTGAGATCAAAAGCTACTTCTATTGCGCGTTTAAGTAGGGAATAATCAAGGAGACATTCAGAAAAAATACAGAAATTGAGTTTCTTCTTCGTTCGTTCTCTCTTCTTCTTCTGTAATCTAGGTTTGTTCATATCTTTTGATCTTCTGCAATTGAATTGAAAAAAAGTTTTTCATGATCATCAGATTTTCAATTTCACGAAAAACAGTTGTTCACTCCTCCTCATGACCCTTCTTATTTCCTATATCAGATATCGGTGAAGTTTGTCAATAAGATAGTCGCAGAGGTGAACGAACTCTGACTACTATATTCCTCGTTTTCGATTCACGCTTTCGATCTGTTGCTATGATTTAACGCAGAGAATTCTGTGATAGAATACTTGTATTCAAATAGATATATTGACGGCTAGGGATTACGTTTTCTACAGATGTCTCTGAGTGATAAGCTTAACAATTTCAAAAAGCAGCAAGTAAAATGCCAATCGACGCTTTCGAGCATTGCTTCTTCAAGAGCTGCTGCACCTCCTTTGAGGCGGCCCGTGCCTGCCGCAATAACTCAGAAGCCTAAGCCTCCCGATGGTGCCAAGTTTTCAAACGACACCGAGCGGCTTCAGCTCATTAACAGCATCAGAAAATCTCCTGTTGGAGCTCAGATCAAGCGTGTCATTGATCTCCTCTTCGAGGTTTGTTTTCTTGCTCTTGTTGTTGCTTTCCTTCTTCATATTCGTATGAGCTAATACAAAGTTGGTTTTTTTCTTGTAGACAAGGCAAGCCTTTACGCCGGAGCTGATAAACGAAGCGTGTCATGTGGATATGAAAGCCAATAAGGCTGTTTTTGATAGTATGAGGAAAAACCCAAAAGCGCATTACGACGGAAGAAGGTTCTCTTACAAGGCTGAGCACAATGTCAATGACAAGAGCCAGCTTCTTTCCTTGATATATAAGAATCCTGATGGCATTGCCGTGATTGATCTCAAAGACGCTTACCCTAATGTCATGGAGGATTTGCAGGTACGATTATAGTTTCTTGACATGAAATATGAGATTCTTCAGCATTGCTCGCCTTGAATCCTTCAACAAGACAGTGGAATATTTGAAGATGGTGGTCTTGAATGATTGCAGGCCCTTAAAGCTTCAGAAGACATCTGGTTGCTATCAAACTCACAAGAAGACATTGCGTATCCAAATGATTTCAAGTGCGAGATTAAGGTTCATGACGACTTTAAAGCTCTGTACCGTGACACGGACGCCCCAAGCGACATGATGGACGTGGAGAAGGAGCTGCTCAAGAATGGTTTGAAGGCGGCGACAGACACTGCGGCGAGGAGAGCTGCTGCGCAGATGCAGGGGATACCCATGAACAAACCCAAGAGTAAGAAGAAGAAGAAACAGGAGATCAGCAAGAGAACTAAACTCACCAATGCCCATCTTCCCGAGCTCTTCCAGAGCCTTAACGCCACTAGTTCCCGGAACTGATAGGATCTTAGAGGTTGTAATGGTTTTCATATATTCTCACAACATTGGTTATTAAGAATACGTGAGTTGGTATTTGTTCAAGATGCTAGCTAAAGAAATATCATACAACTGTTCAACACTTATGTACATGTAACCAAGTTTAGACCAACCATATATCATATGTGAGTAACTTGGGAAACGTTTCTTAGTAGTATTAGCTTTGATAAAATTTGATACACATTAATAACAACAACCTATTTCATAAGCCAGTAGAGTTATTCATGATCAGCTTTTTGCATAGTTAATATATATTAACAATCACTTGACGAATAACGTTCTGATCCGTTTATCGTTCAATCACTGCGTCGAGCCGCGGTTACCAAGATCAGACGCGGCCTTAGCCGCCCGTTCTAACGCACCGGACAGCCAAAGAGCTCCGTTGGAGAAGTAACTGCTGTTGACAACACTGGTTGCAGCTGCTTTGGCTTTGTCTGAGACATGGTACTTTTGGTCGGTTAACCTGACAACTTCGACTCCGGCGAAGATTTTGTCAGTGAGACCAAACCTCTGCTCTAGTTGAGATGCTCTGGCCACCGCTGCAGCTGATACTCCGTGGGATTCGTCAAAGGCTTTAGCTTTGGTTAAAGCGTCTTTGCCTAGCACGAACCCGGTGGCTAGCATTGTTTTCACCACTTGTTGAGCTTTTGTCACTGCTTCTCCGGCGTTGAAGTCGCCTCTCTGAGGAGGAGTCTACATGATTGAAAGAACCAAAAAAGAGCTTAAAAATAAATCAGAAGAAGCAAAAACACAAAATCATCATCGTTCAACATGAAGAAGCAAACACAAAAATGATTCGTACATGTGAGTTTGTTTCATCTTCAAAACTTCGTGAAGTCCCGTCCCAGAAGTTAAACTCCTCATGATGCTGTCCCCAACGAGTTATGCAAACGCGTTGCTCCAATATCGTTGCGCCCTGAAGTTATCGATGAACTCCAAACAAGTTAGTGATTCTCCCAAAAAAAGTGAATCAATTCCAAACAGAGCAGCTTACACTGAGTAAAACAGCAGTTTCCTGAGAATAAGAATCCTTGAACATCACATACGCAGAGCAAGCTTGCTCACCCGACCTTATCTCGTGCCAAAACATAACAAGTTTTATCATTGTGAATTCAGAATATGCAAAAAAATTCAATGTGAAGAAATCAAATTTCGGTGGAAGTGACAAGACTCACCTGACAATATCAATATGTTGGATTGCACCAGAGAAGGAGAAGAATTCGATGAGATCTTTCTCAGAAACAGCTGGAGATAACCCTGTAACTTCCACACCGTATCCATCTTGATGATCCATCTTCTTCTTCACTAGCTTGAGAATTTATACAGTTTCCTGTTAGAGAAATCTAATTCAAAACCAAAACCTTTCTTAAAATAGTAGAAACCTCCACAGCTCTCTATTCTCTATATACATCATAAAAGGTAAAATCAAATCATATGTATCAATTATCAAATCATCTCCAGTTCGTGATCAAACTTCGGGAGCTAGAAGAAATCAAATTTCATGAATTAGACGTATATAATCGTTCCGATTAAGCTTTAAATGGCTCTGAAATTTCATTTCTGGAACACGATTTCAGGCGAAACTCGGAAAAGGAGTCAAGGACGGATTGCAAAGTGCACCAAGAACAAGGAATCGTTGATTCGCACAACGAATTACTGTAGATCCAGAGAAGAGCATCAAAGAAATCGAAGAATCAAACGTACCTGGCGTTGACCAACACACAGAGAGTCGCAGAGAAGCTGGAAAGAGAGAAAACAGTGACTACCTTTTCAGTGAATGAAGAGAGAAACCGGACGCAATTTGAAAGAATAAAACGTCGTCGTTTGATTTAATCGAGCAAACTTAATGGGCCTTTAATATCTTTAATAGGCTCACTTGATAAACTATTTCTAGATATAAAATACCTGCATGGAATAGCTCTCACTAATGCCAAGTCTTTTTCTCAAGTGTTGATAAAATATAAAAATCGAGAGAGCAAAAAATATTCTTTGGGAAAAACGGAAAAGCACATGAACGAGGACAAATGGTCGTGTCAACGTGTCGTATAATCATATTGGGATTAAGATAGATGTTACTAATATCTTCTTTGATTTGTTATTATAGGAAAGATGTAATTTTCATGTCAATGAAATAAACCAAGTTTCTGTGATTTATTTTATGGATTACTGTATCAGAGCCAACTCTTCGGACATCGTTTTCTATCACCACCAATTTTTTTTCATATCAGATATAGAAACAGGAGATTAGCCTTTTTTGGCAGAATCACTTTTTGAGCAATGGTTTGATCCGAGCAACCAGAATCTTGGAAATGGGCCAAATGGCATTGCAACAGGGAACTTTGGGGAAATTGTGAGAATTGTGGAATGCCTGGAAGGTAGATTGAGAGTAATTACAAAGAACTATTGAATCGAGATAGCTACTTCTTAAATATTGGCTATGCAACTTTGCAGATTTCCGAAGTTAGACCATCATAGACTTCCGCTTTAAGGAAAAATCTATGCATTCGAGTATAATCTTCCGCATTAATGTCTTACATATAAATCGACTTATTTTGATACAAATTATATTGCATTTTTAGTCAATTAGATAAAACACCATTACTTACTACTTCAATATATATTATTCTATAACTTTTTTTTGCATGTACATGTTGGATAAAACTTTAATCTCATGTTATTTGTCCAACCGTCCAAACAAGTAAAGTTTATCTGTGATGACTTTTTCGTCTTACATATAGTGACAGACATGTGTATCATATAAATAGTTAAAAACTATTAATGTACGAGAGAAATTCCACGGAAAAGAAAGTTAACAAAAGAAGAAGAAAAAAACAAAAAAGGACGTGCGCCTAACAAATGTATGATGCAATGGTAAGAAAGTAAGAAACGCAAAGAACATAATTATTCTTGCGCATATGAACCGTTGGGAAAATCAATATTTGCGTCTCGATTACTTTCTCCATCTCTCATTGTCTCTTCCTCCTTCTCTCCACGACTACGTGTACCAAACTTAAATAGTAAAAGATTCAGAAGCATCTGTATATAGACAAAGTTTTATGTATTGTTCATTGTAGTATGTTCCGAGTCTTCTGACGCTGTTGATGTAGAAAAAGTTACAAAACATGACAATGTAGAAAAAGAGGTTAAGAGTTTATTGACCAACAATAAGGTGCTGTTCTTGTTTTTGAGGTTAAAACTATATATAGAACTTTCAACGATTATATAAACTACACGTAATAAGGCCACTATATATTTAAAAAAAAAAAAAAATCTCTCTAAATATTTTAAATTTACCAGGTATTGGTCCCAGAACCACTATCTTTAAATTAATGAGCATTGGTCCAGGAACCATTATTTTTTTTTTTCTTACCAGATATGGTTAAGAACAGAAAATAAGATGGTTGACTATGGTCTAAGGGCTTATATCTATCGGCTAGTTTTTTATTCGGATTTCAATTTTCATAGCCAAGAGCAAAGAAGGATTTTGATATTAGTTGACATCAATTCGAAGATCTACAACGTGTTACATCAATCTTACCTACTTTCTTGAAATCATAATTTTCTTCTTGTATTTAATTGACTCGATTTTAGTCGATTCAAAGATCCCATTCCGAGTTGATATCTCACCTCCTTCCTCAAACATGATTAATATTTTTGTAATTGTTATATAGGGATCTAGAAAGCTTTTCCATGTGTTAATATGTGTCATTGTTTCACAAAACATAAAACAACTATTACGATGAACATTATTTCTTTTTGGAGTTAAATTTCAGATTTCTGAATATTTAAGTGATTTATACAACTTTTTTCCAGAGTGAAACCAGATTAGGTACCTTATAACAAACTACTAACATGCTGATCATGTATTGACATCCTACGTATTATAACCTAGCTAGTTGCCACCGATTTTGAATTAACCAAATTGACTCTTGCAGTTACGACACAGAACAAAACACAAAAATGTGTTAACATATTTGTGAACCGCAACTTGCAGTTACAATTACAACCCAAAACAAAACGCAAAAAAAAATGTTTTGACCACAAAAGTGACTATGTGAACGTTATTGATCATATTCATAATGCGTTACAGGGGCATACCAGACTATATTACTTAGTTAGCTGTATTCGTTCCTACATAAATCTTGATTTACGAATAGCACGTGTTGGAATTGGACGTTGACTTGGATGACAAGGCATTGTCAAAGGAGGAAAAAATGCAAAGGTATTGGGAGCCACCACGTAGTTTCCTATGGACGGATCATTCGGAAAAGACTCGAATGTGTTGTAACTTGTAAGGTTAAATGATACATTTTAAAGCTAATATGTTGTTGGCAATTTTGTCTTTTCCTCAATAGTGATTACAGATGTAGCATGGGCTATCACGGCATCGGATGATGGCTCAAGTAATGCAATGACATAAAAAGGTAAATATTGGTGATTCTCCTTATCATTATTATATCATAATGTACATAAAACTCAGAATTTAAATAACACTTTCACATATATGATATAGGGATGTAATCATCGATTAAGACTCTTTTTTTCTCCAACGACGACTAATGAGACTTTATAATTTAAAAGAGATTTATGTGAAAGGAAAAGAAATGTGAACACACCTAAACAAACAGATCACGTGGACAGCTCTTTGGACTTCACTTTCAGACAGAAGCTACTATGATACACCCAAAAAACAGTCATCTATCCGATCATTTTGCAAGAAATTAAAAAGCAAAAAATGCCTTTTCTACCAATATTCTTTAAAAACGGAAAGAGGACATATAACGCTTACCACATGAAGATGTATACATACAATTCGTTCGATATTAATTTCTCCTTGAGGTTATATGCATTTTTTGCGACGACTCTATGAGTAACAGATAAAATATCATCAATAATATATGAAGATTTAAATTTCACGGCTATTGACCGTTGACCCCCAAATGTTGTCAATTTTGAATAAAAAATAGGTCCAAAACTTTGATGAAAATTCTTATTCCGATATGATTATTAAAACACTTCAGATGTGCCAAGATCGATTAATTTTTTATTTGTTTTATAAATTAGTTAATAAAATATAGACCTTACATCTCTTATACGATGTCGCCCTCAACGAATCTATCTACTTTCTTTTTCGTTAAAGCACTAAGTTTTCACGAGCTTTGGGAAATACCTTATTAAAATTTAAAAGACATAGATATGTTTTTTTCTTTCATTTTGGAGTCAGCCAAAATCGTACATTTTAGTATTTTACGCATGCTTTTTACACATTTAGACCAAAAATAAAAATCATACATTTTTTAAACCCCTTGGCCAAAATAAACAAACAAGCACGAAAATTAACACAAGAACAGGAAAAAAAAACGGATTTATGGTAAAAAAAGAACAAGAAAAAAAAATGAAAGAAAAAGCGTCCCGATTAGATTAGTCATAAGTCTTACAAGTGATAAAGCCACTTTTGCTACCGTCCAAAACTCCAAATACTGGTTTAAGACAGTTCTCATACGTGGCAAATAATGAGTGGATTAAAGCTGGCAAGATCCACAAAGTCACAACTCGCAATAATTTTAATAATCATTTAGCTGCACGCTATATTCTTTCGGCGCAACTCAAGCTTCGATTAATAAAACTATAATCAATGGGTAAAATATGCAAGATAAATAAAGCATGGTACGATTTTCTGTTGTTCTTAAAGAATAAAAGCATGGTACGATATATATGGAACATTGTAATATTTCTTTTGACACTTTATTTAGATCGATCTTCTGGAAGTACATAAATATGATGCACGCATGTGTCAATGTCTAATAGCTTTCAAAGAAGATTTTTTTGTGTGTGTATGAATGTTAAAAGCTTTCAAAGAAGTTGACGCCCTACAAACAAATAATAGATGATCTTTTAAGTTGTATAAAAGCGTCGGTCCATTAAAAAAAACAATTCACTAAGATCTTGGAGTATATAGTCCACTGTTAATCCGGAAAAATGTCGTCATTGTAATTGTAGTTAACTTAATTTGAATAAAGATTTCTAAAAATAGAGAGCTAATCTATGTCTATCTGTGATTTGGAAATACCCCTCGTTTGACGATAAAACACATGTAGCTGAAAATATATATGACTGAAACACATGTACAAGAAAACAGACGAATACTATTCTATCGAAGAGATAAAAGAGCCCACCAACAACTGTTTATTTTATTGGTCAACGGCTCAACGCCCACCACATAAGTTTAAGTTATATATCTCAGTAAACACTTGTAATAATAAAGTACTAGTAAAGTAATTAGTACACTAATTTCATGGTTTATGCGCAAAAATATACTTCCACGTGTGGTGTCACGTGTTCCGTGACCCTAGAATTGTACTTTGTCGACAGCTTTCTCGTATTCCTAATTTCTCTGTTCAGCTATTCCGATCAGCATACATGCTTTTTTCTGTACTGTTATGTTATTCGATAAACATAAAAAGAGAGTATTATATTCGGTGGACAAGAAGCATTACATTCCTAATAATATTTGAGTGTGGAAATGCGTCTAATACATAAACCACTACTTTATATTCTTTTGACAAAAATTCAAACGAAATTGATATACCTATCCTAGAATAATTTTTGTTTAATTTTTGAAAGATTTATTTGGTTCTAAAAGATAGAAAATCAATTATTGTTTTGTTTGAAGGAGATGAATGTGACAGTACATATTGTAAGAAAAAAGGCTATTTGAAATTCTTGTGACGTACAAGAAGTTTTTATTACAAAGTAACTTCTTTCTTTGACCACAGAAAATTTAACAGGTAAAGTACAGAAACTTTTTAGAACATTTACACTGAACACTACAAAACAAAACTAGAAACAGCAGTTTCAGTTTGAGTTTCTTGATTTTAATAAGCTAAACAAACTGAAAAAAAAAAGGAAAAATCTTATCTATAAATCTGGACTCACCAACGCATGTCGAAAAGGAAAAGCTTTAACCAATAATTCAAAAACTTAAATACGTTTTTAATAACTTTAACCCAAGAATAAAACCAAAAGAAGAAACTTAAACCCAAGAGAAAAAAAAAGTAAACAAAAGTATAAACTTGAGAGAGAACGTTAAACAGAGGAGGAGAGAGAAAGTTGAAATTCGACCTCTAGAGAAGAGTTTTAACTTTGAGCTCTCTCTCCTGAAGGACGGACGGACTCATACGCATCACTCCGGTTCGCAGAGAGAGTTTCCAAGAGACGACAGAATCTTTACAAATTTATTTTTCTTTCTCCGTAAGTACCTCCTGATTATTGTTATATAATCTCTTCTATTTCTCTTTGTTGTTCCTTTTAGAGATTCTCCATTTTTCTTTCCTTCCTTCATTTCTTCTTCTTCTTCTCCATCGAGGAATCATTTTCAGATCGGATCAGCGATTCCTACGGTTCGATTCTTTAAATTGAGCTTTGAATTAGGAATCTAGAGATCTGAGTTTCGAAGCTAACAGTTTGATATTCCATAAAGTCGCAATTTTTTGGTGTTTGGATCGGTGTTTGTGAATCTATTTCTCATCGGTGTTTGAATGATCAATCGAAAATTGAGAATACTCTGAATCGTGCGTGTTTTGATTGAACTAGTCTTCGCTCATTTTGGGATTTTCTCAGATTCTCTCTCTCTGCATCCATCTCAAAGAGAAAGATGGTGGAAGATCGGAAATATCTTCTATCGAGGGTTTTCTCAAGCTCTCGTCCTTCAGAATCCAAGTGGCCTTACATGTATCCACAAGGAGAAGGAGAAGAAGAAGAAGAAGAAGACTCTTCTCAATCTAAGCTCACCAATGGCAAAAGAGCATTAGACGATGCCGATGACGATATCGAGCTCAGACAAATCAAGACTCCCAAATTGACGAGATCTTCAATTCACGGAAACGATGATGCCAACAATGACGATGGAGATTCGCTTATCAACGACATCGGGAGAGACAATTCGATCAGCTGCTTGATCCGTTGCTCGAGGTCCGATTACGGCTCAATCGCATCTCTAAACCGGAGTTTCCGGTCTCTGGTTAAATCCGGTGACATTTACAGGCTCCGAAGGCAGAACCGGATCGTCGAGCACTGGGTTTACTTCTCCTGCCAGCTCTTGGAATGGGTCGCTTTCAATCCCGTCGCGAGACGATGGGTGAATCTTCCTACAATGCCCTCAGGCGTCACCTTCATGTGCGCCGATAAAGAATCGCTCGCCGTCGGCACCGATCTGCTCGTTCTAGGCAAAGACGACGACTCCTCTCACGTGATTTACCGATACAGTCTTTTGACCAACTCCTGGTCTTCAGGGATGAGGATGAATTCTCCGAGGTGTTTGTTCGGGTCGGCGAGTCTCGGAGAGATCGCGATCTTCGCCGGCGGTTGCGATTCTCTCGGGAGGATCAGTGATTCCGCGGAGATGTATAACTCGGAGCTGAAGACTTGGACGACGCTTCCGAAGATGAACAAGCCGAGGAAGATGTGTTCGGGTGTGTTCATGGACGGGAAGTTCTACGTGATCGGAGGAATCGGAGGGAGTGATTCGAAAGTGCTTACCTGCGGGGAGGAGTTCGATTTGGAGACGAGGAGATGGACGGAGGTTCCGGAGATGTCGCCGCCGAGGAGTAGGGAGATGGCGGCGGCGTCGGCGGGGGCGCCACCGCTTGTGGCGGTTGTGGGTAATGAGTTGTATGCGGCGGATCATGCTGATATGGAAGTGAGGAAGTATGATAAAGAGGGGAAGAAGTGGTTTACGTTGGGGAGGTTGCCTGAGAGAGCTGATTCGGTTAACGGTTGGGGATTGGCGTTTAGAGCTTGCGGCGAGAGGTTGATTGTGATTGGTGGGCCTAGGAGTTCTGGTGGAGGGTTTATTGAGTTGAATTCTTGGATACCGTCGGCGAGTGATCGGAGTCCGCCTGTGTGGACGTTGCTCGATAGGAAACATTCGTCGAATTTCGTATACAATTGTGCGGTTATGGGTTGCTGATGATAGTACATTTTCAGGAGATTTTTGCAGATTGAAATCAAAGATTCTTGGTGATGGGGAGGTCGAAAGTTGCAGTTTGTTTGGTTATAAAATTTAATTCAATTCAAATACAATCATCTTGGTGGTATTGTTAGGTTCTTGGGAAGAACAGAAACATGATTTATAATAAGATTGGTGGATCAAAGATGTAGAGTTTTTGCAGTTCTGTTAATGTTGTTGAAATTTGTTTTCTAAATACTAATGTTTCTATCATTTTTTTGGCGAAAGAGAACGAATGTAGTAGTATCTATGTTTTGTGTTTATACTCTCAAATCCGAGGAGAGAAGAAATAAGTGCTTTTGATCACATGGACGTACGTGCAAGCTATCTCGATCTTTTTGCTTGCAAGTTTTTGGTTCTTTCTTCAGAAAATGGTTGCCATAAATTCTTTGAAATGTAGAAAACAAAGATGGATTTACGTATGAAAATGGCAGTTTGATTCTGATTTTGACATGTTTCCGTCACTTTCTTTTTCATCACACAGTCGAATATATTTCATGAGATGTTAGATCGTAAATACGAGTAGTAGAAAAGACCAACCACCTAACATTAGCTAGCTAAGCTTTACTAACACCAGGAGTAAAATGTAGTAAATGAACCAATCACCCATCTCAGTTTTAAGGTTAAAATATTTATTACTTACTACAGAAATAAATCCAGTTTATAAAGAGAATAGTTATCAAATCCTATGATTCTCACTTCAATTCAAACTCAAGCAGATCAAATAGAGAAAACTTGCAAAAGAAGTTATTAAAACACTGAAGTAACAATATCATTTCAGAGCAAAAGAGTCGACAAAAGATTCAGAATACTGACTGTGTCCAACTAAAAACTTAAAAACAAAAGATAAGTAAAAAGTTTCAAAATGCTTTATAATTCTTCACCCTTGAGGAGAGAAGAGACTTGCAGGTCCGAAACTTCAATAGGTGGCTGGCAAAAAGGCACTTCCCGGCTGACGTTTAGCCAAAGGTCCATGACATGACAGGAACTGCAACATAAACCAAATCATTGTTCAATTCAACAGCAGAAGATTAACTAAAATCGTAATGATTACAACCAGGAGAGATTCTTATCAAAAGGATGCATAATTGAGATACCTTAGCGTTGACACCATCAGGAACAACACGCTTCTCTGCCCTCAACTTCGTGAAGTCAGCTCTGTTAAACTTCGTGAATCCCCTGAAGAAAAACAAAAAGCCACGAACTTAAAATCAACCAGACAAAACTGATTCAAAAAAAAAACAAATAAGAAATGCTCATTCTTTCGAAAAACATACCATTTCCTGCTGACGATAATCTTTTGACGGCCAGGGAACTTAAACTTAGCACGACGAAGAGCCTCCTGAGCATGGTGACCATGATTATCCTTACACCTCACAGACAGAAGCACCTGCCCAATCGCAACACGAGCACAAGTACCCAACGCCTTCCCGAAAGCACCTCTCATACCGGTCTGAAGCCTATCAGCTCCGGCACACGAAAGCATCTTGTTGATCCTCAGAACGTGAAACGGGTGAACCCTAATCCTCAGATGGAACGCATCTTTCCCGGCGGATTTCACCATGTACTTGTTGCAAGCGATACGAGCAGCTTCGAGTGCTTCGCTCGAGACGTTTTCTTTCTCCCACGAGACCAAATGGACACAGAAAGGGAACTCGTCAACACCTTTCTTCTTCATGCCGACATCGTAGATCCTGATTTTGGGATCTGGCACTCCACGACAGTACCGAGATTTCGGGTACGGCTTACCCTTGATCTGACGGTAACACCTTGCCGGTCCTGCAACGATTCAGTAATTGAATTTTAGCTACATTGTCTATGAAACCAAAATCACCAGAAAATCGAGGAAAACATAGTTCGAATCAATGAATGTAGCTCAAACATAGCTCAAATAAATGAAAGCATAGCATAAATAATCAACGATAAAACATTTGCTTAATGAAATTCACGGAGGAAAAAGAGAGTAAAGACGTGACTGGATTGTAGATAAGAGGTTAATGGGAATCAAAAACGTAAGGCAAATGATCATTTGGATGAACAGAGATACGATGAACACACGAGAGACGGAGAAACTTACTTCTTCCCATGGCGTCTCTGCTTTCCCCTGCGCAGGCGAAAAGCGCGGCTGCTAGACGAAAAAAAAGAGATGCCCTAGAAAATGACTTAATTATATAATAATAGATCCGATATTTACTAGGTCAATAACCAAAGCAGATTTATTGATTTAATTCTAATGGGCTTTGATGAATTGAAAGCCTAATAGTGTTTCATTTTCTGATTTCATAAAACAAATGAAATCAATTTCTACAATTCATTGGTTTAGTTCTAATGGCCTTTGTGTCGATTGTTAATTCAAAACCATGGTTTTATAGAATATAAGCACAATATCATTAGCTCCACTTAATAAAGAAAATATACATTAGTACAATAGTTTTGTTTAAAGATTATGGCTTGGTTGTGTTTTTAGAGAATAAACACAATGATCACAACCAAATGAGAATCTTTAAACAATCGCCCAAATCTTATATTTATATGCGGTCATCATCTGATTGAAATGTTTCAAAATCAAATTCAGAATCAATGAATTTCATCTTCAAATTTGAATTTTATTTTGCATAAAGACTTCCATAGAGATTTCAAGTAGACTACTCTAATACATTCATGTCAACAGTGTAAAATTAGTGCAACACATGATTCTTCTCAGCCCATGGAAAGTGGCTCACAAATTTCGCCCATGAATCCATTCTGAGAAGGTAAACATATAAATTGAATTAGAGATTAAAGTTTGGTTTTCGAATGGATCCACCAATTTAAGTTTAATCCATACAACCAACCAATTTAATTTGGCAAAGAATTCTTCAATATCCATTGTTTCGTTCACCCATTTGATGACATAATTCCAGTAAGTTGCGGCGATTTCTACATTATGGTTAACGAAAGTTAAAACTTTACTACCTCATATTCTTTCACGCTCTTCAGAAAATGATCAGAATCCATCTTCTGTTTGAGAAACTGACCAATTCGTCAATCTCGATCGATCCGCTCACCAATTCGCTCACCCGATTCTAATACACGTCCGCCCTTTCTACGTTATGATTTAGCGATATCATAACTTTGCTGCCAAGTTTCCCTCCAATGTTGCGACTAATATTATTCGGTATCATGCTATCGGATTCAAATCGTCCTTGGATCCGTGAATCCATTCTGAATCGCAAATCTGAGAATCAGAGAAAGAAAGATACGAAGACTCGAAGATCGAAAAGAAGAGAGAGAGAGGGGATAAATCTGAAATTCGATTTGGGGCTTTTCTTCTTTTTTGCTGTTTAAAGACTTTAATGATGACTAATATATACTATATAGAGATTCAACAACGTGTTAAGTTTTCATTGGATTCTTTACACTTTTCTTTCTTTCTTTTTTTTTTGTCGACAGCCTCTGCTTCTAAACCAACTCGGAATCCAAGCCGGAGAAACAGAGTTTACATAAAACACATCTGTAGGTAGAACTCTAGCACTCCGTGCTAACTTGTCCGCCTTCGTGTTCTTCGTTCTTGGGATATGCACTATGGAGAAGGAGGTGAACTCCATCCTACATCTGCAGAATTCTTCTAGTATTGTGCAAAAGCTGGCCACTCCTCGGGTTTAGACACCATCTTTACCACATCGGAACAGTCCGTTTCAAACACTATTGTTAACTTCTTCTGCCGTAACATGCACTGCATAGCCCATACCAGCGCTTCAAGCTCTGCTTGGAGTGGTGATATACCCCGCCTTAAGTTACACGTACCCATAAGCTTTTCGCCTGTTTCCGTATTGAAATTATACCAGCCTAGACCCGCTCGGGAATCTGTGGCTTTCCATGATCCATCAATCTGACAGATTTCACCTCTGGCGAGATAACTCAGCCGGATTCCCCTCCAGACCGGTGTGACCTCTTGTCTCTTGTGCCGTCCTCCACGCTACCGCTTCACTTGCCGCGTGATTAATGATATCATTAGGATCTGAGTCATCATTGGAGAAGACCTTATCGTTTCGGGCTTTCCAAATAAACCAAAGCAACCAGGGATACATACCCATTCTTTCATCATTTGGTAGGTTCCAGAACAGGTGAGCAATGTTTGTAAACAAGCCTCCTGTTGGGAAATGGTCCAAAGCTGTAGGAATTGGGGATAAAGCCCACACCTGTAACGCTGGTGGACATTCAAATAACATATGATTAACCGTTTCCGGAGCCATACCGCACCGCACGCACTGTGGGTCGATTTGAAGGCCGCGACTCTGTAGCCGTGCCCCTACAGAAACACACCCGTTAACACTTGCCAGATGAAGTGTTGTAGCTTCTGCGTACATTTCACTTTCCATGTGTATGCTTGTAATGGACTTATATCCGGACCATACTTGATCGGATTAGCCTCATCAAGACTTTGTTGCGCCAAAACGTACCCTGATTTTACCGTATAAAGACCCCACTACAGGAAAAAAGGGTATTCTTAGCATCCGAAAAACGCTATCTAACAATATAATAGCATTTTAACAAGCGCTTTATCATCGCCCGTCATTGTAGGTCTGACACTTTAGATAGCGGTTTTTGTTATTGCTATCTTTTTAATTTTTAATATAGCGTTTTCCTGCCTGCTATTATATAATATACCATAGCATTTAGATTTTGTTATTAATACTATTATTTTTAATAAATTGGGTTTTAATTTTATATTTTAAATTTCAGATTTTAGATTTTAAATTTCGAATTCTAAAAAATCATAATTAATTTACAAGAACAATAAATAAATTAATTAATACTACTAAAAATATTTTACAAGAAATTGTTTTTCTTCATATCTACTAGTTCTAATCTTTTCTAGTCTAAGTTCTCAGAATAATCTCAGCAGATCTCTACAGCCTCAAGCTGGCTGAGCCACCTCAATCACCAAGGCTACTCCGCCTTCCCGAACAACTGTTTTGGCAGCTTCATGGTGCAATCTAGCATCTTAAACGCCATATATGTGCTCGTAGGCAGTGGTAACCTCCGTCCCACCTGAAGCAAAACCTTAAACTCATCAGAGCTGCTAGGAGAAGAGACTATCTTATCATAATCAAAACCAAAAAACTGCAATAGCTTAAAGAGTAAACGATACAAAATTATATATTATTCAATACACCGAACTTAGGATATTCAAGAACACAAGAAGTTTCAAACCTGAATACCAAAAGAATAGGAGAAGCACTTATAACTCGAACAAAGACATAAACTTGAACTGCTGGAAAATTCTTAAACAACAAGCAAAGAAAATAATAAGGTTTCGTCAAGAAATAAGACAACCCAGATAGAACCAAACAAACCAAAAGTAGAGTCATTGCAGAGGTCAGTATGTGCTAAGTATACAGTAATAAAGCAAGCAACTCAAAAGAAAAGGGTCTCACTCACCAGTGGTGATGGTTTGAAACCATTCATGACCAGCTGTATCCCAAATTTGGAGCTTGATGAGTTTGCGATCAAGCTCAAAAGTTCTTACCTAATATTTATTGCTGCATCCAAAGCCAAAAAGAACATAACATACCCAATGAGATATCTATGAATGAGAGAAACATAAAAAACAATCTCAAGTCGCTTAAGATAATTAAAAGGAAATCAAACCCAATGTAGTGATAAATGAAGCAAGTTGTCTACCATCGGTCCATCAGAGAAATTTAAAAGCAAACAAACTACTATGTTAAAAATGAACATATATAAGATTGAAACAACTACAGAACCGTATATACCTTTGTAGTTTTTGTGTGTGGGAGATCCAATATGCAAAAAACAAACCAGTAGATTCAAGTACACAAATACAAAAGACCAGAAAACAAAAATCGATTGAGCTAAGAGAAACAATTAACTCACAATTAACCAATAAGATCATTGAAAGCCTAAACTGAATCTAACACACTGCCAATTTCAAGTGTCTTCACCAAAAGCTTAACCGAAACATTCATGCAAGAGAGTAAAATAATCGACAAGAATCAAAATACCCAGCATGTACAAACAGTAACTCATTACAAATAACAACTCCCCAAACGAAATTTTACCTTCACTATCAATTTCGGACATGAAGAGGATCCGTTTACGGTGGTGGAGTTGGGTGGACCAGTCTGCGTAGGTTTGGGATCGGTGGCGACGGCTAGACTTGGGTGGAGACATTGTTGTTGACTCCTTTTGACGCAGACGATGAAGAGGATCCGATTACGGTGGAGGAATTGGGACCAGTCTGTGTAGGTTTGGGATCTTCTGTCGACGGTTCGTGAGCGAATCCGAGGAGAAATCCCTGATAACGAAGGAGCGGCGGGAGGAGCGAATTGATTCAGGTCCACATTAGACGAGTAATTGGATTCGGTGGAGATTGTGAGAATTGAGAGCAAAAGGGAGCTAAAGGGGAAGAACATGAAATTTTAGTTTTGAGTAATTGAGGATTTTCTTTTTGGAGCCCAGATTTAGATATTGGAACCTAAAATTTTCGAAGTGATCGGGAAATAAAAATTTATTTTTCCACTTAACACTATTATAACGTTTGCAATGAGGTATGTGCTATTAAAAATAACCAGTAACTTAAAAATGATACCGAGTATTTTAAATTTTTCATCAAACATTTTACCATAGCGTTTACAAAGACGGAAACGCTATCTAAAACATAGGAATATAATTACTATAGCAGTTTTACCTAAAACACTATATTATTATGCTATTAAAACTCAATATTCTTATAATGTCCAACTTCGTAAAAAATCATTCCATCGAGTTCGGTCTACTGGTGCGAGATGTTGGAATCCCTAAGATAATGGAAACATTCTCGCTATCAAAAAGTTGATGTAATAGTGGTAAATTCCACGTTGATGTGCCGGTTGTCATCAATTCACTCACCCGAAGATGAGGGTAGAAATGAGTCCCGTGTCCTGTAGCTGGCCTCGGGCGAGAAGCTGGAATCCAGTGATCTTCCCAAACCGAGATAGAATTCCCTGAACCAACTCTTTTAATAAACCTTTTATTTACCAAAGGTCGAGCCTAGACCATACTCTGTCATCCATAGGACGGGGGGTATGACCTAATGGGTTCCAAAGGATCTAAGTTCCTATAATATCGTCCTTTGAAAATCCGTGAAAATAATGAATCCGGGTTATCCAGTAGCCGCCATAATTGTTTTGCCAATAAGGCCGTATTGAAGTCTTTTATCACCCTGAATCCCACCCGCCCCCGCATTCTTGTGTCGACAAAGCTTCTTCTAAGCCAGCCAGTGCATCCTTCGAGTCTGCCCATTGTTACTCCACCAGAAATTTGACACCGCACTCGTGAGTTTGTTTGTAACTCTTTTCGGCAATCGAAAACATGACATGACATGCGTTGGCATTGCCGAAAGAACAGACTTTATCAAAACCTCCTTTCCTCCCCTCGACAGCCATTTTGAATTCCACCCATTGACCCGTTTGTATTGTCTGTCAATGAGGAAACTAAATATCTTTGTCTTTGCCCCCAGACTTTCGGGAATTCCCAGGTAATTGTCCATTCCGCCAACATTGGTGATCCCCAGAATCTGGTGAATTTCCGCATGCACCCCCTTATCTACCGTGTGTCCAAATTGTACCGAAGATTTGGCAAAGTTAATTTGTTGCCCCGATGCAATTTCGTACTCCTTTAAGATTTGTAACAGTACCCGACTCTCCTCAGGTATAGCTTTGCAAAAGAATAAGCTATCATCTGCAAATAATAGATGGGACACCGCTGGGCTAGCCCGAGCCACTTTAAGACCAGTAATATCTTTCAAAACCTCCACCTTTTTTCAATGATTTAATATTAATTATTATCTGATAGTAAATCGTATTTTTCCTTATACTTTTTTTTATAGCAAATTTCATCATTTTCATGCTCTTTATTTAGAATCTTGGTTCATTTGATTTGAACACACATTTTCTATCTTTAATTTTCATTTTAGCCTTGAATCAACTCTTGTTAATATGTTTTAAACTTTTAATATATATAAAAAAAAAAGAAATCATGTATTACTTCCAAAAAGTAATTTAATTTTCAATTATCTTTTTTTTTTCTTAATTCAAATCGATATTAATATGTAATAGTATAACTTTAAAAGATTTTTTTTTAATGATGAGGTAAAATGTTGAATTTTATTAAACAAACCATTATATATGATAAAAGTTGAATAATATTAAATAGTGGTGATAAAAGAAAAAAAAATATATATATATTAAATAGTTTGGTGGAAGAAAGAGAAGACGATGTCAAAAGTTAAAAGGTCAAAATTGTGTTGTATAACAAAATAATTGTAATTTATTTTAGGGAGAGTTGGTTTAATATTCTATTTTTTATATAATTTGAAAACTAACTCTTTTTTAAAAAACTTTGAAAACTAACTTTTTTAATAAGTGAAAACACAATAAAATTATTATTCAGTTTTTAGAAATTATAATAAAAAAACAAAAATAAAATCTTTTCAAAATAAAATATATCTTAATTTTAGATATTTTAAATTTCTTATATATCGGAAACAACATTATCAATCATTTTCATATTTGATTTGAAATAACTTATCTATTTTCTTGTAATTAATCACAAAATTCCAGTATTCAGTTTGAATCATCCAATCTCCATTAACTCCAAAAATCAACATAATTTTGTAACAAATAAGAGCTAAAGGTTTCATTTTCTAAAAAGCCTATGTTTAAATGTTATTTAATAATCTAATAGTTTAAATTTCAAATTAAATCTTCATAATATCTTTTTTTTTCTTGTTGAAAATGTTATCAATAAGAATATTTTTTATAATAAGGTGACACCAATTGGAAATATGAGAGACAAAAATTACTTTTCCTTCTTTTTTAATTAAAATAAACATAATTATCTTTAGAATAACTGATATTTTAAATATAAATAATATTAATTTTCGGAAATATGTAAATAAATTTGAATGAACTTTTGTGTTTGAAAAAAATTAGGATATTTTGATAATTTCAGATATTAAAAATGTTAGTTTTCAAACAATTCAAAAGAGATGTTAGTTTTTAAAATATTTTTAATTTGTGTAATATTGGTCCAAATTTCCTCTTTATCTTATATCCTACAATATATTAACAGACCAAGCTTTTTGTTGGCTCAACAATTTTTTTGTATAATTTTTACTGTTGATTAATTTATTTACTAGGTAATTCTTCAGCAAAACTAAATTCGTTTAAATGAAAGAGTATTAATTTGCTTGAATAATCCAATTTTGCATTTTTTTTCTTTGTTTTGCATTTACCTACTCTTATAGGTTTAATTATAATATTTTCACTAAATTTCGGTTTAGTTTAGTTTTGAATTTATCAATATACAAATTTTTAAAATAAATTTATCAATATAAACTAATTTAAGTATTTTTTTTAATGTGACTGATATATTTTAAATCTAAAAATATAAATGTAAGTGTAAAAAAAATATACTTTTGCTATACTGAACTTTTTGTTTATAAATGTAATGTAATTATCCTTTTGTATGTTATATACTTATACACAATTCACAAACTCGAAAACTACGGGATATATTGGACTACAGATTTTTAAGTGACTTTATTTTGGGAAATTTGGCAAAAAAAAATCAAGAAGCTCTTCTCTTGTCCACATAACTTTTTTTTACCATATTTTGTCCTAATACACTTTATATAAATTTGCCAAATTTAACCTTCAAAATAGAGATTACTATATTTTTAACATGTACAGAAATCATATTATTTTTATTTTTAAAAAAAACAAAGAAATAAAGGGAGAGTTAGATTAATATTATAAAAAGAAAAACTAATTTGAAAACTAACCCTTATTTTTAAAAAATTGAAAATTAAAAATAGGACTCCTGTTTTGTTTCCCCTAGGACTACTGTTTTAAAAAAAATCTAATTGGAAAACTAACCCTTCAAAATATTTCATTAGCATCATTCATCTTCCCCTAGGACTACTGTTTTGTTTCCCTCTCAACCACAGCTTTCTCTAATGAACGTTTCTACCTTGAAACAGTTTAAAACAAGTTCAGAATGAAAAATAATTACCCAGGTTAGGGCAGTGTAACATTCAAAGTCGAATAGAGTGCCTGAAACTGAAATGGAGTGCCTGAAACTGAAATGGATTTCCAAGTCGAATCAGCCATCTTGGAGGTGAAACTAGCTTTAGTTTTGTGTTCATATTAAGGTAGCGATTCTCTAAATCTGAGCCTTATGAATTTGATGTTCTTTAGGCAAACGTGATCTCCATGACTCACCAGCTAGCTATGAGTATAGTTGGGGATGGAACCATAATGCTGGATCAGTCTGGTGACAGAAGACACACATCATTGTCTGATACTCAGACAGAACATAAACGAGGTGGAGAGGAGTTGCTCTCAGCTAAAGTTCAGATCGCCTATGCAGGTCACGCCATTGTTCAGATCTTTAGCAGATGGCATCCCAAGTCCACAATTCTCTGCAAGTGTAAGCTTATCATTCATGTTCATGGTCATCACACAATACTTTGATTCTTAAAGACTGATTACTTATTTACAGGAGAGAGGAGTTTCCTGTTAAAGATACTCGGGACTGAGTCTTCATCTCCATGTCCAAGTGCTAATCCTTCACAACCAACCCCCTTGCAGAAAAGATAAACGACTAATTGATAGAGATGAAAATAATTCAAGAGACATGGAACTAGGAAGAAACGTCATCAGCCAACTGAGTGAATATGAATTTAAATAGATGCATTATATATCAAACAAGCAATCCGGGTAACACAAGACTCTGGACCATAACCATATCTTGAAGACTAGGGACGAGCAAAAAGTTTAGGGAGGAAGCAGAGGTTACAAACTTGCAATATATGCATTGCAAATAATTAAATAGAGATTAAACTCTGGAAATAATAAACAGGATATCCGAGAGAGGATTCAGCCGTCGAGAAAACAATATCTTCTGATCCGGTTTCAGGGTCGTGTGCGAACAGTGTTTGAGTTTCCGCCCGATCATGAAACAGCAACTTCTTCTTCTTCTTCTCCTTCACCTCCAAAAGTGTTAGTGGCGAGAGCGCAACCGCTGATGATGGGATCAAGCATAAGTAGACACGACATCGACATCTATGGAGTACATTTTGTCCCATGTCTTGTTGCCTGAATTAAACGACCATACAACTTGTATGTCCCAAAAAATCCGGGACATGCACAAGCGATTGTCTAGGTTGCACATGACGAACTCGTAAGGATCAGGAACATCGGAAAAGGGAGCTTGAGCGACGACTTGAAAAGCTTCAGTGTGAAATCAAGAAAATTCATTGGTTTAATTCTAATGGGCTTTGATCAAAGCCCATAATATTTCATTTTCAGATTTAATAAAACAAATGAAATCAATTTCTACAATATCATTGGTTTAGTTCTAATGATTCTTTTTTTGTCGAGTGTTAATTCAAACCCATGGTTTTATAGAATAAGCACAATATCATTAGCTCCACTTACTAAAGAAACTGTACATTAGTACAATAGTTTTGTTTAAAGATTCTGGTTCGATTGTGTTTTTAGAGGATAAGCACAATGATCACAACCAAATGAGAATCTTTAAACAATCGCCTAAATCTTATATTTGATATGTGGTCATCATGTGATTGAAATGTTTCAAAATCAAATTCAGAATCAATGAATTTCATCTTCAAATTTGAATTTTATTTTGCATGAAGACTTCCATAGAGATTTCAAATAGACTACTCTAGTATATTCATGTCAACAATGTAAAATTGGTGCAACACATGATTCTTCTAAGACCATGGAAGTTGGCTCACGAAAAGGAAAGCTGTTTCACGTACCAGACGGATAAGACCTTAACCCTTTGTCGTAGTAATTGGAAGAAGCAAATTTTCCAGAATCTATAAATAAAAAATCAATTTTTTTTAATCAAACAGAATATCCAATTATAAAAAATGCATATCAAATAGAGGAGAACCAGAAACTAACCAGGAAAAATCGCAATCTTTCTTCTCCCAATTGAATAATCTAACTCCATTTTTCATCTTGAATGTTTTTCGGCGAGAGATTCCGAAATCTCAGGAACTAGATATCTCAGACCATATTCTTCCATGCTCTTCGGAAAGTGATCAGAATCTATCTTCTGCTTGAGAAACTCACATAGAATTTCTTTGAAGCTTCTCCAATTTTCACCCAATGCTTCTTCCATCTTCTGCATCAGACTTCTCTCCGGTGGGGGCTGTGGAAGCACCTCCACAGCCACTTATGGGAGTTGGATCCCATGGACTTGGGCGTAAAGTCTAACACATTCATTGGCATCGTGTCTTCCACCGATCTTGAAAGAGATTGTCTGCATCAGATTGGGAAATGCCCATCTAGACCTTATGACGAGTTGGTAGTCCTCTGTATTCCAATTCATGGTGAAATTTGAGAGAGAAACAAGAAGTTGATAAAAGCACAAGAATTTTCGCGAGAAAGCAGAAGAAATCAAATTCGCGAAGAGAGAGATGCGAGAAGAGAGATGGATTTAGGGATTTTTTTTTTTTTTTGGTCAACAGCCTCTATCTCTAGAACAGGTCGGTAATCCAAACTGGTGAAACATAATTTACATAATATACATCAGTAGGTAGAGTTCGAGCACTTCGTGCTAACTTGTGTGTCTTCGTGTTTTCTTTCTTTGGAATATGCATGATGGCAAAAGAACGGAAGCCCTTCTTGCATCTATCCACCTCGTCAAGTAACAGTGAGAACGCCGGCCACTCCTCTGGTTTAGACACCATCTTCACCACATCGGAACAGTCCGTCTGAAAAACCACGGTTAACTTGTTGTTTTGTAACATACACTGCATAGCCCAAATGAGGGTTTCCAACTCCGTCTGAAGTGGTGATATCCCCCACCTCAGATTACATGTACCCATTAGTTTGTCAAGAGTATCCGTGTGAAGATACCATCCCAGACCAGCTCGACAATCTGTTTCCTTTCAAGCACCATCCACCTGACATATGTCACCTCCCATCGATGTTTCAGGGATTTCAGTTAAGGATATCTTTATTATTTTAATTAATGCGTATTTTGAAGGAGTTTCGAAAAATACCCGTTTTTTTAGCCGTTTCACAATTAATCATAGTTTTTAACAATTTTTTAATTTTCAACTGTAAAAAAAGTTTTGAAAGACACGCAACTTTTTGTTTCTTCCTTGTTTGTTATACCACCGATAGTATGCGCTCTCCGGCCCCTGTCACTTTTGGATGGGGAGAAGAAGCACTGTGTGTCACATGAAGCACTGATGACATATGATCTTGAAACCAAATCATATGACTCTGCTTTCTCTGCTGATTCCATCGGGAATCCTCTCTGTTATTTCCCCAGTTTATTCTCTGTTTCATAAATTTGGTGCTTGTCAATGTATAATGAATGTATTATTTGCTTCAAGCTGTTTGTGACATTACGAAATAAGGTTAGGGTCCAGAGTCTTGCTTGTTATGCTTTCCTTTTGTTTCTTCTTTGCTTCTCTCATTTGAATAATTACCATGAATTAACAAGAGACTGGGGTTTGTCTTTTCGGACCAGAGCTTAAAGACAATATTTTTTTAAGAAGAGAGGCAATCATGATGAATCCATAAGCTATAAAGAAAACAACTCGAACAACAAAAGAATATTGTTCTATAGACAGCATCAGTACACCCAAGAATGAAGCTCCTGTTGCTAAAGACAAGATGTCTGAAGCTTAGTATTCTGGAACCAAAATCCGATCTTGTATGTCTGAAAATGTCTGCACATCTTTGCCCCATAACCTATTTTTCCAAAGAAACAGACGAATAAAAAACAGTAAGTGTCACATGAAGGATTTGATCACTGAGAATTTCACAAAATCCGAAAAGAAATAAAAGAACAAAGAGTTTGTGGCGTACCAACAAGCAATACCGATGGCGTTTGCTCCGCCTTTATCTGCCTTTTCATCATCTCCGACATGCACTGCTCTGTTTGCTTCTACGCTGATTTGCTCTGCGCATGAAACATAACATACAATATAAGTTGTAAGCTTTAAAGCTGAAGGCCGAAGCCTTTGTAAGGGAAACAACAGTTTAGATTATGATTCAGAACCTAAAGCACATTTGAAGATTCGATCATCAGGCTTCTCGTATCCGACTTCTGAAGACACAATCACAGCGTCGAACCTGCAAAAATAAAACGGCAAACCATCATAAACATTTACAGTGGCATTCAGATCTCAGTTTTCATAACAGAAAGATGGGAAAGCTTACATATCTATGACATTAAGATCCCTTAATAGCTTTTTGAGCCTGGTATCGAAATTAGACACAACAGCCAACTTAACTGCAATCATATTGTAATACTTCTTTTCTTTTTAAAAAAAAAATAATTAAATATTTTGTAATATTTCCGGTGAACTAATGTTTCTATTTTTGTTAGTTCCTAATTTCTAAAATTTTCATGATTTTTCCTAGATGTCTTAGTTATTGAGCTGACAAAAAAAAAGTCCAATAGAAATTAGGAGAATTGTTGGTTCTTAAATCCTAAAATATCTTGTTTTAAATTTCCTTTCCTCGAAAGGTTTTCTTTGTATATAAACAAGTCTCTGGATATCTTCACCAATGTTTAGATAGATTTACTTAACCTTGAGCGGTTTTGCTTATCATTTGTTTAGGTATAATAAATAAAACTTGGTTGAGGATGGAATGGTCGCTGCCCCACGATGTCGTGGAGCTCATCATGGAGAGACTTCCGGTGAATCCTTTGCTGAGATATAAGGCTGTATCAAAGCAATGGCAAACAACGATCGAATCACCATTCTTCAAAGAAAGACAGTTGAAGCATCGCCAGCAAACAGGAGATCCAGATGTTCTCATGGCGTGCAGACATCCTTACGGTATTAAAAACCAGGACACAGAACCACTAAGAACCCTTGTGTTGGGTTCATCATCATCGGTCGAGATCCCTATTCCTTGGGAGCAGGAGAACACACTACTATTTTTAAATTATAAGAGTAGTTGTGACGGTCTTGTTTGTTTCAACTGTGTCCGTAAACCCGCTTTTGTGATCAATCCCACCACTAGATGGCATCGGACTCTTCCTCTCTGCAAATTACAACAACTCGTAGCCGACTTAGATGACACCGTGGACAAGTTTGAATTCTCATTCTATAATGTTGGATTCGGTAAAGACAAATTCACGGGCACATACAAGCTCGTTTGGCTATACAGCTCTGGCCTAGAACAAGATGCTAATACTATATGCGAGGTTTTTGACTTTAGCACTAACGCTTGGAGCTATGTCACTCCTGCTCCTCCTTATGGGGTTATTGATCCTGTGTATGCAGATGGGTCGCTTCATTGGTTCGTAGAGCGGGAAGAAACCAAACTTGTATCTTTCGATCTTCACACTGAAGCTTTTCAAGTCGTTTCTAAAGCTCCCTTTGCCATTAATTTACATCCTTATGACATCGTCATGTGCAACCTGGACAACCGCTTGTGCGTATCCGAGATGAAGTGGCCTAACCAAGTGATATGGTCCTTTAATTCAGGCGACAAGACATGGAACAAAATGTGTTCCATAGATTTCGATTTAGTTTCTCCCTTGTTTAATATTCCTCATGACAAAGTGAGTATCTTGCCACTAGCACTTTTGGGTAAGGAGAAGAAGAAGTTGCTGTTTTGTCTTCGTGATTTCGGTCAAACACTGTTGATACATGATCTCGTAACAAAATCATATGAAGCTGCTTTCCTTGCTGATTTCATCGTCTATCCTGTTTGTTATTTCCCTAGTCTAATCTCTATTTAATAAATTGATAACTATGATTTCTCGGCAGTGCATAATATAATCTCACCGTTTTTTTATTTACATTTTGTTGTTTGCTTGTTGTGACTTGTGAGCCACGGTCAGACCAACTTATTCGGCCAAGGCCAAGAGGATCGGAATAGAGATTTTTCCACTCTTTTTTTGTGACATGGCATATATACTCGATCAAACCCATGTTTAGGTTTTGATTGAGCTAATGCGAGTCTATATATGTCGTATTAATATATTAGAGGGTCTTTACGTATTAGGAGAATTGTTGGTTTTTACAAATCGTAAAATATCTTGTTGGAATTTTGGAATATTAAAGAAGGAAACTGTTGAAATTTCCTTTAAATAAAGATAAAATATAAAGTCTCTAGCTCAATCTCTTCATCTTGAGCTAGGTTAACTTAACCTAGAGCGATCTTCTTTTTTATATGTTAGACTAGCTTAGATATATATAACAAATTAAATAAGCTTCTGTATCAACACAAGAATGTCGAGAAAAAGTTGCTTGGGGATGGAATCGCCGCTGCCCCACCATGTGGTAGAGCTCATCATGGAGAAACTTCCGGCGAAATCTCTGCTGAGGTTCAAGGCTGTATCGAAACAATGGAGATCAACGATCGAATCACCATCCTTCCCAGAGAAAAAGTTGAAGCATCGTCAGCAATCAGGAGATCCAGATGTTCTCATGGCATGCGTACGTCCTAACGATCTCAAGGACCGGGACATGCAATCACTAAGAATACGTGTGTTGGGTTCATCATCATTGGTCAAGATCCCTTGTAAAGGGAATAACATGCTATATTTAGCTTGTATAAGTAGTTTCGACGGTCTAGTTTGTCTCCACGATACCCTCAAACCCGCTTTTGTGGTCAATCCCACCACTAGATGCCATCGAACTCTTCCTCTCTCCAAACTACAACAGCTCAGGATCGACTTAGATTACAACCTCTCATACGGAATGTATAAGATTGGCTTCGGTAAAGACAAATTCACGGGCACATGCAAGCCCGTTTGGCTATACAACTCTTCAGAGCTAGGCCTTGAAAACGACACTACATGCGAGGTTTTTGACTTTACCACCAGCTCGTGGAGGTATGTCACTCCTGCTGCTCCTTACCGGGTTATTGGTAACCTTGATTCTGTGTATGTAGATGGGTCGCTTCATTGGTTCACAGAGTGCAAAGAAACCAAAGTTGTCTCTTTCGATCTTCACACTGAATCTTTTCAAGTCGTCTCTAAAGCTCCCTTTGCCATTGTACGTCGTTTCGACGTCTTGATGTGCGCAACCTGGACAACCGCTTGTGCGTATCCGAGATGAAGTGGCCCAACCAAGTGATATGGTCGTTCAATTCAGGCAGCAAGACATGGGACAAAATATGTTCCCTAGATCTCGAGTTAGTTTCTTCCTTGTTTAGTATTCCTCATGACATAAGGGAAAGGTGTATCTTGCCACTAGCACTTTTGGGTAAGGAGAAGAAGAAGTTGCTGTTGTGTCGTCATGTGAACGGTCAAACACTGCTGATACATCATGATCTCGAAACAAAATCATATGAAGCTGTTTCTGAACCTTTCGGTTTTCCTGTTTGTTATTTTCCGAGTCTAATCTCTATTTCATAAATTGATATTATGATTTTTTTTGTCAATGCATAATATAATTTCACCGTTTTTTAACTTCTTGTGAGCACGACAGACCAACTTTTGTTTTGGTGTGACATGGTATATATACTCGATGTCTCGATCAAACCCATTATTACGTTGTTGATTGGGCTAATGCGAGTCTATGTCGTATTAGTAGTAACCTCACAAACCAATTGTGATATTTGTACTGCATCATGAAGGATATCGATATAAGTTATAGACTACTTATAGTGTTCATTTCATTATAATATTGGCATGAACAACGAGAAAAACCTGATGACACTGATCAAATCAATGCCAAGTTACTCTTTTATTTTGTAGCGACAACACATGATGCAAGAGAAGAGAGCTAATTAAAAACGTAAGGGGAAAATTGTTTATAGATCTAAGGTATTTAGATTTTCTCATTTTTCCGCAGAAAAAGGAAGTTGAATCCTAACAAATAAGAAAGAATAATCCGAAACTGCGCATAACATGCATAAGCATTCTTCTTAATAACAAAACACCGTTCATTGAAAAAACACGCCCTTTTGCTTTCTTTCTCCTCTCCTTCTCTCTTGTTTTTTTTTCTTGAACAACAAGCAAAAAACAGAGCAGAAGCTTTGTCGGAAGGGGGCAAAATGGTAGTTTAATTTCATCAGCATTCTTGACCAGGTTTGCAGCCAAGTGCTCCTGCGTCCATGGTGAGTTTACGGACCATAGTTCCCGGTTTCGGTCGAATGGCAAACTTGTTTGGGATGGGGTTTTTCGGTTTAGGGCTCCACGCGTTTGGTTTTCCTGATTCCACAAAATAAGCTCCATTGATGAAGTAATCTCCTTCTGATTGCCAGTTCCAAGATTTCCAGTCAGCGTAAGGCGTGTACTCTCTCTTCGTGATCTGTTTGGCTTCCTCGTTAGGAGGAGCAATGAAACGATTTCCCTGACTAATGATCGTAGGGTTCATGTTTCCACCAATGGCATACATTTCCCAATGTGTGTAGTCATTGTTCACCACGTGGATCAGTCCGAATCTGCAACGAGGCATCCTCTGTTGCAATCTCTTACCAAAGTGGTTAAACGCAACCGTTATCTGCATTTTCTTGTCGATCACGTGTTTGTCATTCGCCCCAAAAAGCATCACCTGTTCTCCAAATTCAAATAAAGGCTTAAAAAGGAAACTTTGGAAATTACGTCTTTACAAAGTAACTTTTTTTGTTTTACCTCTTGGTGGTCGGTGAAATGACTGTTGGAAATAGTTACTGCGGTGGAGCCGTCAATGGCATCGATCATACCATCTGCACATTTGGTCATCGAAACATGGTCGATCCAAACATTGGTTGCTCCAAACAAACTGATACCATCACCATCGCTTTTTGTCCTGAGCCCTATGTGTTGCTCAGAGTCTCTAAGCAAACCACCGTTCCCAGGAATAATGTGCCTGATATAGATATTGTGTATGATCACATTGTTCACATACTGCAGCGTTAATCCAGCACCTTCCATGATGTAAACCTTGGCTCCTCTTCCATCGATCGTTTTGTCGCTCGTTATCATCAGTTCTTGTTGCAGTTTAATGACCATGCTTCTTGCGAATATGATCCAAAGCGGTCCGGTTCTGGTCACCGCGTACCTTAAGGTTCCTGGTTTAGGGTTGACAAGATCGTCATCGGACGCGTCGTTGACTACGTAGATCGGTCCGTCTTTTCCTCCGGTGGTTCTCCGTCCGAATCCGAGAACGCAGTCCGCTAGTTTCTTCCGGTTTTTCTCCCAGTTGTTGTCGCATCGCCAGCATTTGTCTATCGGGTTATAAGCTACGCATTTTCCGCTGTGTTTTTGATTTTTCCGACCACTTTTCACCTGCAAAAGCTCTCTCCTTGTTGCGTTGGTTGATTCCGTGGCGTCAACAGCTCTGTTAAGAAGAACAAGATTGTTTTATTAAGTTACTTGTTTTAGAAGTTAGGTTACATTGTGACTTCAGAGAAAATTAAACAAGAAAACTCACAAAGAGACGTGGTGATTAAAGTTGTCGGTAACGTTAAGCGGATTAGGATCGTAAGATGCCATAGTTTGTTTCAACGAATCTTCTCGACGCTGTGTCCAGTACTTGTCGTAGATATCAACATTTGCTCTACTCTGTGGAGCCCATGTCGCTAAGAACGACAAGGAGAAGACGAAAACGTAGCCCCCAAGTTTCAAAAAGGCTGCCATTTGCAAATGCGACGATAAAAAGCCGCTGAGATTTATTATTCCGGCAAGACCCTCAAGAGGAGCTTGTAGTTTTTTAGATCGGCTTGCCGGAATAATTATTGAAGATTTTGATTCACTGATTCCTTTTATAACAAGGAGCTGGAGAGAGGAGAGAGGGAGATGAAATGGTTAATGGAGGACTAAGAATCAACAGAGATTATTTGACCATTCATTTCAATCTATTTGGTCATTTCTCCTAAAACCCAATTTTAGTTTTGGATGCCTTTGTTTTATCCTTCTTTTGTGGGATATTTTCACTTAATTTTGCCTCTACCTAATATTATCTTTTGTGAGATAATAGCACCTTAAAACCTGAGGTAACTATTTTTGTTTTCGTCTTTACCATACAAAATATTGTATAAGTTTACATCGTATATCACTCCAATGTGTTCCAAACTATTGAAAATGATCATCAGGATGACTATAACATTTTTTAGGAGCGTTCAATCATATCTTTTATCAGAAACTTAAAAGAAACTTAATTTTGGTTTGCTTGTAAAACAGAAAAAATCACAAAAAAACATAAAGAACTTATATTTGGAATCGGTTGATCGATATATATGAGAAGAATTGGGTATATCTGAGGTTCTGAACTTCACAGTCTTAATTAAGAAAAATAAAATTATTTTACAGTCTAATCTTGTGATTTGATTGGTTTACGAAAACCACTTATTCCGTTTAGCGTAATTTCACGGTAAGGCATGGTGCAAACTCAAAAGCCCAATGAGCCGAACCATCTGTAAGAGTTTGGCCCATTTAAGTTATTTAGTGAAGCCCTTGTCTTTGCCATCCAAGTAATTAAAGTTGTCTCTTGCAGTCAGAAGCTAATTAATGGCGGGACTCTCTCTGTTCCCCAACAGAATTTGAAAAAAACAGAGCAAGAAATGCAAATTGAATTCTTCTGTTTCTTTTTTCACTCTGTGATCTCCGAAAAAGTTCGCACAACAACTTGATAAAATGCCATACTGTTTCTATCTCTGTGAAGATGTTCCGTGATCAATAGTACAGATCTAAATTCACCAACTTATTATATAAACATTTTTTAAAATCAATAAATAATTTCTCGACCCTTTATGGTATAAATCTACCGATCACTATGAACAGAGCACTGTGAGTCGACGATCACACATTCCACCAGCAAAAGAAACACCATTTATGATTCGTCTCCTAACCATTTCAAGAAAGACAATAATTACCTAAAAAGGCTTTAAATTGTGCAATCTCGTTCTCCAGAGAAACAAGATTCAGGGCTGACAAAAGAAGAAAACGAAGCATGAAAGAAGAAAGATTCAAGACGAAGAACCTGTACATCGTCGTTTTATCTCTCTTCTTCTTCTTCCTCTGTTCCACGTCGGATTTGCTCCTCCCACGTTCACCGCTCGCGATTCTCACCGGCGGGAGATGGGATTTTCTGCAGCCGAGCATAGGCATATCGGCGATGCACATGCAACTCCTCCACAACAACAAAGTCGTCATCTTTGACCGTACGGACTATGGCCCATCGAATCTCCTTCTCCCTCCTTCAAAATGCCAAAACGCCACCGTTTTCGACTGCTCTGCCCACTCTCTCCTTTACGACGTCGCTTCGAACACATTTCGCCCACTTACTCTCCGATACGACACGTGGTGCTCCTCCGGCTCCTTGAACGCCTCCGGCTCTTTGATCCAGACCGGCGGTTACGGCATCGGCGAACGAGCTGTACGGGTATTCACACCTTGCGAAGGAGCCGTTTTGTGCGATTGGGTCGAGAACAGAGCGTATCTTTCCTCTCGCCGGTGGTATTCCACCAATCAGATTCTCCCCGACGGCCGGATTATCATCGTCGGCGGAAGAAGAGCCTTCAGTTACGAGTTTTACCCCAAGAGTCCAGGTAAATCAGTTTTCAGTCTCAGATTCTTGGCGGAAACGAGAGATCGGAATGAAGAGAACAATCTTTATCCGTTTCTTCATCTTCTCCCCGACGGAAACCTATTCATATTCGCCAATCGAAGATCGATTTTGTTCGATTTCGTCAAACACCGAATCGTCAAGCAGTTTCCGGAGATGCCTGGCGGCGATAAACGGAATTACCCCAGCACTGGCTCCTCCGTGCTCCTCCCTCTCTTTCTCACCGGCGAAAATAACCGATCGGTAACGGCGGAAGTAATGGTATGCGGCGGTGCTCCGCCTGGAGCATTTCTGAAGGCGGCGAGGACGATCCCTAAAATCTTCGTCGGAGCGTCTCAAACGTGTGGGAGACTGAAAGTGTCCGACCCGAATCCGAAATGGGTCATGGAGCAGATGCCATCGCCACGTGTCATGCCTGATATGCTGTTGCTACCAAACGGCAACGTTTTGATCATTAACGGTGCGGCGAATGGAACCGCCGGTTGGGAAGACGCCACAAACGCTGTTCTAAACCCGATTCTATACTTACCCGACGAGATCGATCCGACCCGGAGATTCGAAATCCTCGCCCCGACTCTGATCCCTAGAATGTACCATTCGGCTTCTCTCCTTCTTTCCGACGGTAGAGTTTTAGTCGGAGGAAGCAATCCTCACCGGAATTACAATTTCACGGCGAGGCCGTACCCGACGGAGCTCAGTCTCGAGGCTTATCTCCCGCGCTACCTCGATCCGCAGTACGCCCACGTCAGACCGTCGATTCTCACGGTGGAGCTCGCCGGAAATATGCTGTACGGGAAAGCTTTTTCAATTACGTTCGTGATTCCGGCGTTCGGGATCTTCGAAGGGAGAGTTTCGGTGCGGCTCGTGGCACCGTCGTTCAGCACGCACTCGACGGCGATGAACCAGAGGTTGTTGGTCCTGCGAGTGAGGCGCGTGGCTCAGTTATCTGTTTTCGCGTACAAAGCTGACGTGGACGGACCAACTAACTCCTACGTGGCACCACCTGGGTATTATATGATGTTCGTGGTACACCGTGGAATTCCGAGTGAGGCTGTTTGGATCAAAGTTTGACACAGTGGACTCTGTTTTCAAAGATAGATTTGATGGGTTTTTTTATTTTTCGAAAAATGTAGTTAAACAATTTGTTTGCTGAGAATTGAGAAAGTAAGAGTTAATAATGATGGAAACTGGGAGAGATTTTTGTTAAGAGTAAACAAAAATAGATATTTGGAGATTTTTATATTTATTTGTTTTCGGTTAAGTAAGTTCCCTACTCGTTCCTAGTTTGCTCGAGTACTTGTGACGGTTTATATATGTTTCTACTGTTATTACAATGCGGGCAAATACAAGCTGGTTTAGTTATATAACTCTGCGGGATTAAGGTCTAGAAAACGCTACTACGTACATGTGAAGGTTTTTGATTTTAGCACCAACTGCGTTTGGAACTTGGAAGTTATGTCACCCCTTCTTCTCCTTACCGGATCAATACTTTCCTTGATCCTGTGTATGTCAATAGACTTCTTCACTGGTTCACCGATTGTACCTTTTGAGCTTAGCACCGAAACTTTCCGAGACATCTCTGATGCTCCTTTTCCAAGTGCAACCTAGACAACCGCTTGTGTGTATCGTCTTGTTACTTTTTTTTTGTAACTGATGATTGAAAGGTCTTACGATCCATAATCTTTTGGTGGTTCAAATTCAGGCTTATAATCTTTATGTGATCCATTATCTATCTCTTCAAAACAACTCAAAAGTTTAGCCAATATTGAACCGTTGAAATGTCAAATGCCTATATCTTTTTCAAGCAATTTTCTCAAACTCTACAGTCTACACTATCAAATCCTTGTAGCTAAATTTAAGCGGGTATATAAATATTAAAATGTTTGTGCGGCTTTTCATAAGACGAAGGAAAGAACGTGGTTAATATAATGTATTGTCCAGAAATTTGTTCTATTGCTCGAAGTTGGAATTATATCAGAACTGGATTTCATACACTTCACCTTAGAAAATAAACATAACATTTGCAGAGCTCAGTACTAATCCGGGCTCGATCGATCAGTCTTTAATTTATTGAAGCTATATACTATGATTGTTTTGAACAAATTAATAATGTGATCACAATTCACAAAGCTTAGATTAGGAAGAAGAGGGGACCTTGTTTTCAACTATCGCAAAACATAATAAATAAGGCTCAGAATATCATATTTCTTATTTATTGACCCCGCCCATAAATGTAATAGTGACGAGTCTTCATCCTACACATTTTTAGTCCTTTCTTTTGGCATCGACGAGTTAATTAATAAGTAGATAAAAATGATTATTTGACGTCCAAAAAATGAGTGCACCATACAAGACTGTAATTTATCACTGCTTTTAGATATTAATCGGTATCAAGATTTCTTGTCTATCCATATATCGATAACATGGATTTACCATATTACTCTTGTTTCCTTTTGGAAAATTCTCCATCTTTCAAAGTTACATTTCTGTAATCGACAATTACATACACAGGAGCATATAGTATTTGACATATGCAACCAAAAAACTTTAGACTGAAACCAGGAAATTTTCAAGAATTGTAAAAGGAAAGATGAATGAGTTTGATGAACGCATTAAACAATAACACATGCGACGCATGAAAGTTATTCTGTACAGAAAACTAAAGGTAACTGAATCATGTGACATATAACAAAGAACATAACTCTTAACCACAAATCATTTTCATCCAGGATGTAGCACATTACACGAATTATAATATACTTAAAAAGTGGAAATTATTAGTTATTGAACATACGTAATGAAAAAGAGGGTTAATAAATGTGATCACTTGTGACACCAACTGCATATTTACTCAACCTTATACGTCATACTGAAGAGGACGTGACTGTACAAACTTGCGAGTACACTCTTCAGCTCTCTATTTGTAGAAACTATTATTCGATTTCTCTTTCTCTAAATTTTGTTGTATGTTATTAAATCAAATTGTCTTGGCCTAAAGATACATCATTTTATTTTGTCAAGAAGACACATCATGTAGACTAGTCACCGTGAAACTCGTCTTTTATTTCTAATAACAAAAAGAATAATAGATTTAGTTTTCAAATTGCAGGAAAATTTTGTGAACACAATGACCACAAATTGCGAAAAGTCTAATGATTCAAAATGATATAACCAAAGTAGCTTTTTTTCTTACATACCCGAAAGAAGAAGAATAAAAAATACGGCTTGTTCATACATTTATTACAACAAGTTTAATATATATAACTTCCAAAAAGGAAAAAGACACACTACACATAATCCAGAAAAGATAGATATATAATCCATGGCATTAATCAGATAGCAAAACGAGTTTATTAATATTAAAATATAACCACACAAACTAGAAAATAATATTAAAACCCTAATAGCTAACAACGACGACTAATCATACTCAAATCATAGAAAAACAACGTAATTAGTATTAAATCATGGGACGATCTTAGTGATGTCGTTATTACCAGACAGATCAACATTGTTAAGATTGTTGATCTTTTCGTTGTCGTTGTCTTCAAGGTTAATGTTGTTCTTCTTGGAGAAATGAAGTTTGTTGTTGTGCATCCAAACCTTAAGGACTCTTCTCTTCACTCCAATCTCTTCACAAAACCTCTGAACAACACAATCTTCTTGCCGTTGTATCTTCCACCCAACTCTCTCAGCAAAACTCAGCATCTTCTCCTTCTGTTCCGGCGTGAACTTCGTCCTAAACCTCTTCTTCTGGTTATATGGCGGGTGCGGTAGTGGTCTAGACGCTGTGGTTACTCCATCTTCCTCCATAAAGTCCTCGGACTCAGAGTTATGCATGTACCGGTAGTTAGAAACTCCGATTGGCATGATCATTTGGTGAGGCATGGCTGATCTGATATTATGGTGGTTGAGCATGAGTTTTCGCGGTGGAGGCGGTTGGTGGAAAGTGGAAATGGCGGTGGCGGTGGTTTCGCCTTCGACTTCTTTTCTATGGAAGTTTCTGTGGCAATTGCAAGCTGAGCAAGTGAGAGCTTCAATGGAGCCATCTTCACCACTCGGCATAAACTCTCCACAGCCATCAGTAGCATTGCCTCCCATAGCTGCTGCATGGTTCTTGAGACACTCCTTGTACCTTATCATAGGCTTCTTGATGATGGCGTTGTAACCCACATGATGAGGATCTTGATGATGAGGATGATGATCATGACTGTTGCCATGACCATTACCATTACCATGTAACGTCATTTGTGGTGGTTGAGTAGTAGTGTTGTTGTTGATGTTGTGAGTTGGAGGAGCAGAATTAGCAGCATGATGATCATGATGGTGATGGATCATGTGACCATGACCACCACCACCAACAAATGTAGTGCTTAAAGGGATGGGCATATCATGATCTTGATCTTGACTTGCGATTTCCATCTTTTTAATTGAGTCTTGAACAATATAATAACCTTTTCTTTTGTTGCAAATTGTTTCTTGGTTTGGGGACAAAGAGGCTAGCTGAGGAGAAAACAAGAGAACTGGAGAAGAATAATTAATTAATAACTACGACCAAAATGACTATCTAAAATATTAGTGGATACTTTCTTGATAGAAATTTCTTGGAAAATGTTCGTTTTTTTCCAGAAAAAAACTCACGGAAACCATTATAAATTATTTTACTGAAAAATAACCAAAAGTTTAGAAAATCCCAAAATTAAAGGACAAAACGGAAGAATACCCAAAAAAGGGAAATTAAGGGGGAAAAAGCTCTTATTGCAAGCCTGCTCGATAAAAAGCTGACAAACGCACTTCAAAAGAAGTCTTCTGCTTCAATTTAACTGAGATTTATGGCGATCAATAAAGAAAACAAGAAATGGGTCATAAAAACGATTGTTCTTTTTTATGTCAATATCTTTTTCTCCCCCAAATTTAGATGGGAGATCAAATATAGAGAGGGAGAGAAAAGTTAAGTTTGACTATGAAAGAAAATCGAACTGACTTGTTGATGAACTGAATTAGAACACATACCCTCACAACTAAAAGCAGTACACTTTGATCTTAGAGGATGCTCCAAAAGTTCAGAACTTTGATGAAGATAGTCAGCATCAACCAAATAGAAACCCTTGAGAGAGACAGAGAGGATTATAGATTTAGGGTTTTCTAATGAAAGACTTTGAAGGAATAGAGGAGACAAAGATATGCATTTGCGTTTTGGATGTGAAGGCAATGTCTTAAACTAAGAGGGGTTAGAGTATTAGTAGTGAAAGCCAAAGACTAAAGCAAGAGAGAAAAAGTAGATATTTTCAAGATTTAACTCTCTCTCTCTCTCTCTGCTCTCAAACAGCAATTGACAGACAAATAGAAAAACAACAGCATTTAATTATGTCAGTTTTGTTAATGTATTTATATTGATCACACAAATAAAGATAGTCAATTAAATTACTTGAAAACATTAAGTTACTCTAAAAAACTGTTTTACTGGTAAGTGACTATGTCATTAGATGTATAACCTAGCTAAAATTATATAGAGAAGGGGAGAAACGAAGAAAACTAAAGGTCATGGGTGATTGCTTCGCTTGCACTATCAGACATCAAGGGCCTAACTGGTGTATTGAAGATTTGCAGAATGTAGAAGAATACAGCTGAATACTATTTATAGTTACCAGTTATCATTTGTGTAATTCAGCTGAATTTAAGTAAAAGACAAAATCTGAGGAATTTTATTTCTTTTTCAATAATTAAATATTTGACATAAAAAACAAAACTATACAGTTTTTTATTTTCCTTGTAGATAAAATTGAGCAAATCAATGTCTATAATTGAAAAAAGACAAATCAAAAAACAATAAATAAAGTTCACGGCTGTATTTTAACATTTGCTATAAAGAGGTGCATCTTATTGCACATTCAAGAAATCATCACCCTTTCATTTACCCAGAAAAAACTAGTTCCTTAAGAAAAAAAAGTGATCCAAACGTCCGAAGAAGAAAAAGCACACAAGAAAACCAAAATCAAGTAAGTACACATTTTTTTGTTGATACTCGTTCATTCTTTACAATAATATTTTATCAAGCTGAATTTTAGTTTTATATTAATGTACTGAAAAGCTTGTAATAAAAAAAGGAGCGATAACATTGAAACAAAATTTTATTCAGAAGAAATTTTTATAAATACTACAAAAAATTAAAGAATTTAGACAAATAGCATCCTTTTAGTTTTTTTTATATTAAAAGTTTTATACATATATATCTTATCATGAAAAATCGCAAATCTCAAAGATTAATGATTATATATTTGTTCTTAATATTACTAAAACACTAGGTTTTAAAATTTTGAAAACATAAGTTACTTTTATATTATATATAATCTGTAGAATATTAAACCAAATCACTTATTTATTTATGCTTAAATGCTTTGACTATGATAAAATATTATTGTTTTGTTTAAATAGATTTTATTTTGATTTAATAAGGTTCATCATATATTTTTACAATATAATAAAAACATGTGAATTTACCATTTTCACATTTAGATATATTATAAATCAAATTTCTGAACTAACGTTTTTACTTTTAATATTTGTTTATTTATCAGAATTGAAAATGAGCGGTGCAGGAAATGCTGGTAGTGGACCGTCAAACCAAAACAATACGGTATAAATATAATTTGATTTAGTTTTCATATTTACTTACAAGGAATTAATTTAACAATTTCTGTTATTTATAATTGTAGACTTTTTCTAGATGGTTGCCAAGAATGAATTGCTTATTTATTGAATTACTAGATGAAGAACTACAAAAAATAAACTATGTCTCGACTTTACCATATAGAGATGGTAAAAATAATATAGTCAGGAAGTTCCGTGAACAGACAGGCTATACAATTGATTGGGAGAAGTGTAAACAAAAACATGACGATTTAAAAAAATTGTACACGGTGTATCAAAGACTTGTTGTTCGTACTGGTACAAACATTGAACGAGAAACCGGAAAAATAACCATGGATGAAAAATGGTGGGAAGATAGAAAAAAGGTATAATTATTAATTTTCCTATTTATTGTATTTAAATTAACTTAAATTTAAATCATTGTTTGAAAAATATTAAAAATTTTATTGAATGTAGGATACGGAAGGAGCATCAAGATTAAAAAAAAATCCTCTGCCATGCATAGACTTGATGCACAAAGTGTTTGGTCCTCATTGTGTTGTGAATGACTATATGGTTTCAGCAAGCCAAATAGATGAAATAGTTGAAAGCGATAATGATGAAGAAGAACAAGAGTCCGGAGAAGATGATGATGATAATAATGAAGAAGGCTTCACTTATGGTGTACCGGAATCGCAACCACAACAACCAATGGAAAATCACTCATCAGTGCCGATTGAGATACCTACACATAACCGACGATCTAGGCAACATGGTAACAGAGGTGGTAGAACTACTAATAGAGGACGAAACCAATCCAGCCGACAGACAACACAAATTCCACGAAGAAGAGCTGTTATGGACACACATCTAACAAATATTGAGTCATATCTTGCAACTATGCAAACTCCAATCCAGATGCTCAATGCACGTAGCCAAGCGAATGAAGATTATGAGCGTGAATCATGGTTGCAACTAAATGAATTACAAGGCATAGAAAAATTTACAGATTTTTGGTGGGCATCATCGGAGATTTTAAGAGACCCGTTCGAGCAAAAGAGGTTTGTGCTGCTAAAAAATAATGAAGAGAGAATTCGTTTTCTCGAAGGGGTGACAGGTTATGATCGAAGTGGCACTTTTCGGGGTAGTCCATGGAAACGTCAGCTTAGTGGTTCTAGCGGGCCAAGTAGTAGAGGATCATTTGGTAGTGGATCTGGTTCTCCTGGCGTAGGAGGGTTTTCACAATTCAATAATGCTGGAAATTTCAACATCGGAGGAACTTCAAATTTTGGTGGTGATGGTACTTCAAATTTGGGAGGGTTTTCACAATTTGTAAGTTCCGGTTCACCGAACCAATTCAGAAGAAGACAAGGATTTCAAGTTCCAAACTCTAACCCACAGTTTGATGAGTCCTCAAATCCAAGAGTTAGCTCTGATGAAGGTTTTGCATATAGACCTGCGTCTGCATCCGAGTTACTTGATCGTTTTAATTTGTCTGATTTCAATCGCACAATTGGAAACAATGATAATGATGGAGACAACTAGTTAAAATAGTCTTTTAATTTTAAAAATGTTTAATATGTATTAAATATAATTTTTTATTCAGCTGATACTAGTTTCTTGATGTTTTAAGTGTTAATTAATGAATTATTATTTATCTTCAGGTTTCTCGCATTATCGAGTTATATTCACGTGGATTACATAACCTCACGGACGATGAGCTACTTGAACTTATTTTTCTGGAGCACATGGATGTCATGGAAGCACTCTTCAGGCCTGTGATAGATTACTACAAAATGTATTATAATCGACAACCAATGGGAGCTGAATGGGGTTTAGGATGGAGCAACATAAAAACAAGAATTTATAACTATCCAAGAGATTGCTTACATCTTTTGAGGATGCGTATAGAGGTCTTTACACGTCTATGTGAGACATTGCACACAGATTTTGGAGTGAGAAACACAAAAAACATATCGGTAGAAGAAACAGTGGCAATGTTTCTTGTTATATGTGGTCATAACATGACACAACACTCGGTTGGGCTCTTATTTGGACGCGCACAAGAAACAGTTGGACGCAAATTTCAAGAATGTCTTAAAGCATGCAGAAAACTATCTGGTAGATTACTTAAGAAGCAGTCTCCTGAGCAGCTCCGACAAGTACCTCGAGGTTTACGAGATAATACTCAATATTGGCCTTATTTTAATGGTTTTATTGGAGCAATGGATGGCACTCATTGTACGGTTATGGTAGCTGGTGGCGAGGCAGCTCGATTTTATAACAGGCATTCACAAACAAGCATTAATGTTTTGGCGATATGCAACTATGATATGTTATTCACTTACATATTTGTAGGATGTCCTGGATCCGTACATGACGCTAGAGTTTTGTCTTATGCAATGGAGCGTGATTCAACTTTTCCAATTCCTCCGCCATCCAAGTATTATCTCGTAGATTCCGGTTACGCTAATACAAGAGGATATTTAGCTCCATTTAGAGGTCATAGGTATCATTTGCCACATTTTCAAGTTGGCTCCCCACCGAGAGGTGAAGAAGAGTTGTTTAATCGGTGGCATTCTTCACTCCGCTCAGTGATTGAACGAACATTTGGAGTTTGGAAGAAAAAATGGAGGATTTTATCAGAGTTTCCCAGATATGGGGTCGAAATTCAAAACAATATTATCATAAGCACAGCTGGATTGCATAACTTCATTCGTCTTTCTCAAATTCAAGATTTTGATTTTGATGATGCGTATATTGACGCAATACCACGAGAACAGTTTAATAGT